AATCACAGCTGGTGGTTAATTTTAGACTTCAGACCTTCCTTGGCAATGGCCTTCCCCTTTGTGAAAGGTAACTGTGGATAACTTTTAAGAGGATTCTCTCTCCTCATCAGCATGCAGCATACCAATGAAGTAACTGTGTGTTTGTGTCTTGCGGGGAAGACAACTGTGGGCAGCACTAAGCTTCTTGATCAAGAAATAAAACTCTGCATTTACTAAAAAAGTACAAGGTTTGTTTTATCTGACATTTTAAAGATTTGAGTGTGTGTGGGGGGCGGGTGTGTGTGCCACAGTGCCTATGCTACAGTGTGAGTATGTAAGTCAGAAAACAACCTTCAGGGGTTAGTTCTCTCCCTCAACCATAGGTTCTGGGGATCAAACTCAAGTCAGCAGATGACTTCAGCCACACAGGCATCTAGACAACTCAATTACTTTCTCAGGTGCTGCGGGTTGATCTAGGCCTCGGAAGAGTGTCTTCGGCTTCCACAATGCATCCTGGGTCCTCTACGCTCAGTGTACAGAGACAAATTGCTGATACACAGTTTCTAGTTATACTTATTTACTTATTGTCAGCTATGGAATTCATGAGAGAGGCGAGATGTCTTCTACACATTTCCCCCCCCCTTTTTTTTTTTTTTTTGGTTTTTCGAGACAGGGTTTCTCTGTGGCTTTGGAGGCTGTCCTGGAACTGGCTCTGTAGACCAGGCTGGCCTCGAACTCACAGAGATCCGCCTGCCTCTGCCTCCCGAGTGCTGGGATTAAAGGCGTGCGCCACCAACGCCCGGCTTCATTTCCCCCTTTTTTTCTCAAAGCCCATCATAGACAGTAAATGCCTGTCAAGTGGGCAATTATGATTTGTCACTAAAATCTAGTCTTTCTGTGCACAAACCCATGTATAAAGAATTAGCAACTTGAAGATGAAGTATTTTAGGTTTGTGATCAAGAGATTTATTTTTCTTCCATCTTCAGCAAAGGGTGATTGAAAATAAGCTTTTGTTCTGCTTTATCATTTTTTTCCACAAAGGAATACATCAAGAGACATCAAGCTTTCTGAAGCAACTTTTCATGCTTCCAATCTTGCGTGTGTTGAATGTGTGTGCGCACGCACTTGCCTATGTGTGCACATATGGAGGCTGTCTGTATGAAACGCTCAGTGTTTTCCTAGGCCACTTTCCTCAGTTTTTGAGACAGGGTCTCCCACTGATTTGGGAGCTGGTCATTTTGGTTGGATTGACTAGATAACTAGCAAGCCTCTGGAATCCTCCTGTGTCTGACCCACCCCCAGTGTTGTGGATACAGACATGACCAGTGCAACTGTGTTTCTTTTTTGCTGTTGTTTGTTTGCTTGTCTTGAGATAGGGTCTCATCAAGTATCAATGGCTAGTATGAGACCCATGGAGATCTGCCTGCCTTTGCCTCCTGGGCTCTGGGATTAAAACCATGCCCAGCTATGCTTGCTTTTTTTTTTTTTTTTTTTATGTGGGTGCTGGGCATCCAACTCTGATCTTCATGTTTGCACAGTAACCATTCCTGAGCATCTCCCCAGACTTTCCATTAAACTTTTCTAGGCCAAACTATTCTATCCATAGAATCATTTATAAATATAGTTTATCTTTGATGAAACACAAAGTCAGGTTGAATTGCTGACTATAAGTAGAATTGTGTAACTTGCCAAAATTTACTTAGAATATATTCATTTTAATTCAGTCTAGCTGGGAGGGGGGAGGGTGGGGAAATGGAGATTTCTAAGTTCAGACTGTACTTCATTTTGTTTATAAAAACATATAACATTAACCTCCTGAAACAATATGAGTCATAAATGAAAATAATAATCAGAAAAGAAATAAAATATGTGAAAATTTAAAGTGGTTGGCTCATAGGAATATTTGATAAATTGCAGCTGCAAAAACAGTCTCATGCAATGAATTAATCAGATAGAAAAATTATCGTAGCTATCTAAATATTACACAACCAAAACATCCCTGTAGGACATATTGCATCTTATCAGGTTACTAAGGCTTTGTCACCAGATATCTTCTTCTAGATTTGTTGTTTAGATGCCCAGTCTACCAAAAGCAAATCACATTTCTGAGTCAAAAGAGAGCAGCTGCTTGCGGATTCTGAAGGATTTGGGGCTGGAGTAAGCATTTCTTCCTTCTGACATTAGTAATATCTACTTTTAGTTTTATAGTTGCGAGATAGTATCTTTAAATAGATACCGAACAAACAAAAGCTGGCTAATGTGGGGTAAAGAATGATTCCTGTAGTTCATGAAGCATTATCTTCCTTTCTGGCAACTTTATTCACTGACAATTCATACCTATATATAATGTATCATGATAATACCTACCCCCACTCCCTCCTAGTCCCTCGGGACACAGAGACAGATGTTGGGTTTAAGCTGAAGATCAGAGAAGCAAAGCAGCCAAGTTACTAGAGAGCTCTCACCTCTACCAAGGCTGGGGAGATCCTGCCTTCAACATGACTGGAGACTAATTGCCCAAGACTGAGTGCCAGCTCTGAGACCCTATCCCTGTCTTATATTCCTCTCTGGTGCTGGGATTAAAGGCCTGTGCCACCACCACCCAGCTTCTATGGCTAACTAGTATGGTTGCTGGGATTAAAGGTGTTTACCACCACTGCCTGGCCTCTATGGCTAACTAGCATTCTGATCTCCAGGCAAACTTTACTAGATCATAAACAATATATCATCACAATATTTTCTCTCATTTTCAGGACCAACATGTTTGTTTTCTCAGATGTCAACTCAAGGAAGCATTTCTAGTGATGGACCAGAGCAGGCTTCTGCAGTTTCGTGTGCAGTCTTTCCTCTGTCCGTCCTTTTCCTGAGTCAGTGTGATAGGATGTATAGAAGTGACATCAACCAAAGGCAGGACCACTTAGGCTAAGTCGGGGAGCAGGGAGGAACTGTGTGCCTCTGGCAGGATAGGACTTTATAACTGGAAAGTATCTCAAAGGTGATGTAATAGCCAGTTCATGGCGGCGCACACTTTTAATCACAGCATGGGAGGTAGAGGCAGCAGATCTCTAAGTTGAAGGCCAACCTGATCTACATAGTGAGTTTCAGGACAGCCAGGGCTACACAAAGACATCCTGTCTCAAACAAAAACAAAACAAACAAAAGATCATATAATAATCAAAGCTTTATTGGGCTGTGTTTCTGACTCTGTGTCTGGCTATACAGTCCCGGGCTGGTCTCACACGAACTATCTCTTGCCTCTGCAGCCTTCCTTCCTAAGTACAGCCATGTCTGGTTTAAAGATGGGTGAGATGGAGGCTCTGATGTGTTGCCTCAACTATTCTTTCTCAAATATTTCCTAACCTGGTGAGACAAATCTCATTTTACATCACCAACCTACTTATTGCTTTCATTACAATAAATCCTCTTTTTTTTAGACCTTGTCTCTGGTTGATTTGGCATTCAAGATGTAGACCAGACTACAGGCTAGCTTTCAACTCACACAGATCTTCCTGCTTCTGCCTCCCTGTTCTGAGATTAAAGGCAGGCTTGAGCCACCACATCTTGGCTTCTTATCTTTTGAGGCTGTCTTTTCAAAAATTATTATTTGCTATTCCTGAGAAAACAAGGTTCAGCTTGCTTGCATTTAGTTTTAATTTAATTTTTTTTAAAAACCACTCAACCAATGCAGCAAATTACTGGTATATAAATCAAATAGGATAAATTTAGCATTCGAATCACCACCTTCAAGTGTTTTTTTCCCTTTTGGAGTGGTAAGCTCAAGTTGGGTTAATATCTACACTGTGTTTCATTTAGATTCCTTGAAAACTTAACCTGTAGAGCTGATGGTGTAAGTAAAAAAACTTTTAAAAAAATGTCCATAATGGAGGCTGTCAGTGTCGTGTTGTAAAAAGCCAAGCGCTGCCACTTCCACCCCGCCCCCACCCCAGACCTTATCTTCCTGTGCTGTCCTGGTTTACCTCAACGTGTGATCTTTTGCCTTCATCTCTTAGGTGTAGGGGCAAGCACCACCATGCACAACACCAACCATTCTTTAATTTTTCTTATTTATCTATTTATTTATTTGGATATTTACTTATTATTTACTTGTGCTCATGTGAGGGAGAGGACAACCTGTGGGAACTGGTTCTCTTTACTATTTTGACTATACGGATTATCAGATTTGGGGACAAGCGACTTTACTGGCTGAGCCATCAAGGCCAACCATTCTTAGATATAAAGCTTTGCCCTCAGCCTCTTAAGCATGTGGGGATTAGAGTTTCTCCAAGTGCAAGGCTGAATAACTCTTACTTTATCAAGTGCTTTGCGCATCAGTACTTAGACTGGACCCCACAACTGGCCACGGAAGATCAGCTTCCTGCCATTCTGGGGTTCGTATGTACTGACCTCAGCTCTCCTGGGCTCCCTCAGCTTCCCTATCTGCTGCCGACAGCCTAGTTCGCTTGTCCTTCGAGTCCAGTGTTTTGTCATCTGCCCATTAGATGAAAAATTTCGAAAACTCACTGAATCCCTTTCCCCCAAATCCCATGCCCGAGTCATTCCAAGCAGAAGAAATGTCTGTTTCTTTTTTAATGCGAGCATAGAGGGATTGGGGCTGGTGGAGTGCTTGCCTAAACCCAGCACAGAAAGCGAGCCCGTGGCCTTCCACGTCCTTGCTGGGCACTCTTTGACAGCGACGTCCTCCCTCTCTACAAAACCCAGGGCTGGAATGGCAGCCCACCTCCCTCCTAAGCTCCGAACACTGCCGAGCAGCTCCGAGCAGCTCCGGATGCCCTCGGGCCAGGACCCCGGACCACGTGCTCGGGCAAGCTCTCCTGCTGGGCCGGTCTGCGTTCTCTAGCCGAGGTGACCTGAAGGTGATCCCGGGGTGGGCGGGGCGCCTGGGCTCTCGCGAGATCTCTTTGAGGGGGCGCGGAGCTGGCGAGGAGGACGGGCGGGCGGTGCTTCCTTGGCTGCCCCGCTTGCACTCGGCGGAGCCAGCCGAGCTCTGGTCTTCCACTTCCGCCCCCCTTCGCCGGCCGCTGGGAGTACCGAAGCCTAAGAAGTCGGCGACCGCCCCGCAGCCGCGCGTCCTCCTCCCGTCGTCGCCGGCCGCGCCGCCCCAGGCTTCGCTCTGCCGAGCCCGCAGCCCACGCCGCGGCCGACATGAGCTTCTTGTTGTGAGTAGACCGGCCGCGCCGGCTTTGTTCCGCCGCCCCCTGGGCCGCGGGCTCCCGAGGCCCTGTCCCCGCCGTGGTTCCCGGCTCTGCCTCTCCGTCCTCCCTGTGCTGCCCCGGCCCTCCCTCCCCGTCCTCCGTGAGCTGTCTTGCCGCGCCTCTCCGTCCTCCTCGACCCTGCCTCCCTGTCCTCCGTGTGCTGCCGGGCCCAGCTTTGGTCATCCCGGTGCTGTCGGTCCTCCCAGGCCCTGCTTCTTCGTCTTCCTGGTGCTGCCTTGGGCCCTACCTCCCTGCGACCCACATATATTTATACGCATATGCATCTGTGTATACATACATAGAGAGTGATGTGTACATTGTGTGTATGTCGTTGTAACTCACCTCCCACTCGTGTGTGCCTGTGTGTATTTGCACACTTACCTCCCACTCTCCCGTCTGGCTTCCGACGATTGCCAGTCTCCCGTCTCTGTGTCTGCTGCCCATTGCTGTTTTCCGAGTCCCAAGCATAGAGGATGAATTGTTGTTCTCCGACTATCCCCATACCTTTAACATCTTAGGTCCTACAGTTGAGAAATTGAGAGTCAAGTTCCATAGAGATAACTTCAAAACGGGGCTGTTTGAGGGCCTGGATTCCCTGGTGACAGCCTGGGACCCCCGCCTCCTTCTTGGCAGTGCTTTCTTGATGTGTAGGGGTTAGGTTTTTTTTTTTTTTTTTTTTTTTTCTTTTAGATATCCTCCAGGTAGGATCTGGGTAATGTGAGCCGGGTTAATTTAGGTCCACTGGGATGTAGGTTTACCAGTCTTGGTTTTTCGAGACAGAGTTTCTCTGTATTGCTTTGGAGCCTGTCCTGGAACTCACTCGGTAGACCAGGCTGGTCTCGAACTCACAGTGATCCTCCTCTCTCTGCCTCCCGAGTGCTGACCAGTCATTTTTTAACACCGACTTCAGTGTTACATTTAGTGTTGGTCTTTATTTTACTAAATCATTTCTTTCAGACGAATTTGATGTGAAGGTGGGGTTGGGGCAGAAAAATGGGACAGCAAGACTAGGTTTTGTAAACAACAAACTTCAGGTCCCTGGGGTTACCCCTGAAGAGTAGCCCTTTTGAAAACTTTCTGTTTATAACAAAAATAAAAACAAGCCCTTTAAGGGTATAATCCACCTCATACGCCTCTTGCCCCTTTATTGGTGTGGAACAAACAGCGTTTAGTAAGTCCATTCAGGTTTCTTTCCCCACTCCCATAAATTTTAGCTGTTACATTGGTACCTGAATCCTGGGTATTCACTTTTATTTTTGCATGCTCAAATACTGGATATCATTTCTTTTCAGGGTGTTTAGGCAAAACTGAACTATTGGCTCACCCTGGGAAGATTTTCCTTCTGGGCACAGTGTCTGGCTTGTGTCAACCTGCCTGATATGTTTGAACTTGTTAATTTATTCTAGGGCTGATTCTGAGTTTGTCAGTAGATGAGAGAAACTGAGTGGCTTATACAATAAGCCGTTGATTCATATTTTGCCTTTAATAAATATGCCCAAGCAACTCATGTTGAGTGCAGTTTTGCATTACTTATATTCAGTTCTCAAGAATTTAAATGGAATGGTTGCTGCTGACAGGCTGTGTCTTTTGGAACTCATAAGTTAGAGTGGTTGAAGTGAAGGAGGGCCATATTTGGCGGGAGCTTGATGATGGGAAAGGTTCTGTTTTTATGTGGCTCGTATGAGGAGCAGATGCATGGTGGGTTAGTTCTTTTTTTTCTGATGAATATTAGCTATAGAAGATGTTACTGCTCTTACTCATGTGACCATCTAGAGTGTGTGTACTAATTAATTGAGGAATGGTTTTCTAGCAAGGTCACAAATAGAAGTTAATATACTCTCAACAGGTTTTGCCCATGGGTTTAACAATCCAGGAAAGTTAACCTGGAGGGAACCAGGCATGGTGGTGCATACATTTAATTAGAAGGCAGAGTCAGGTCCTGCCTTCTGTAAGTTCAAGGTAAACCTGGTCTACTTAGAGAGTTCCAGGCCAGCCAGGGCTAATAGTGAAACTCTGTCTAAAAAACAAAAAGTTAATCTGGCAATTTTTGTTTTATAGTTTCTTGAGTATTGTTTATGAAGTATCAGTGGAAGCAGAAAAAGAAAGAAAAATTAATAAGTTAAGTACAGATGCCCTCTGGTTCTTGGAACCTTTTTGGGAAGGCTACTGTAAGTAGAAAAAGCAGAGGAAATGGGAGAGTGAGAGATAGGTTAGAACGTGGTGAGTTGTGTCTGAGGAGGAAAGCCCTGTTGATTAGAAGCCTCACAACTTCCACTGTGTTCTAGCAGTATCATTTATGTGAGATAGACAAGCTTCCTGTTTAGTGGAGTGTATCAGTCAGTGACCACAAGTGTTACATGTCAGTAACTTACTGGGGAAGAGCAGATGTGCTGTGGGACAGAAAGGCAGGGCAAAGAGCTTTTGGGTAGGACGTGGAGGCAGTTACGGGTAGTCCTGGGGGGTGCACAAGCGGTCTTCCAGAGTGATAGTATAGCTTTTGTACAAATGCTCAGGATGCATTTTCCTTGCATTATGTGAAAAGGCTGGCCTAAAGCTGTGGTTGTACTGCACATTGGCTGCTGCGTGTCTGTAGATTAAACTGAACCCCTAGATGGTGAATATAGAAACTTGACAGAAACTAAGCCAGCTTTGTAGGTTCAAATTCTTTTTGCCACCAATGCCCCAAATTCTTTTTGGTTTTTACAAGATAGGGTTTCTCTGTAGCTTTGGAGCCTGTCCTGGAACTCTCTCTGTATACCAGGCTGGCCTCAAGCTTACAGAGAGATCTGCCTGCCTCTGCCTCCCCAGTGCTGAGATTAAAGGCATGCGCCACCACTGCCCTGCAGGTTCAAATTCTTAACTCCTTCTTCAGCTATGTGGAGAGTTAGTAGATGGTATATCAAAGTCATCTCTATGGGCATAGTCCACTCATGAAGTTCCCAAGTATAGGAGCAATTTGTTCTAAGTACGTTTCAAGAAAAAAGTGATATGACATCACTTTTGTATTCTATGAAAATAGTTGGGTGATACCTAGTGAAAGGTAAGATTTCTTTAAGAAAGAAAGGGGCCAGTGGTACATTTTACTTGGGAAATAGGAAATTGCTTGTGAACTGTCCATTTTGAAGTATGTATAAGAAGCTGCAGACTTTTGAAGTGATTAGATGGGCTTTTCCTAGAAATAGCCTGTTCCCTATTTTACTGAAGGAACAAAACCACAATCACCAGTTTAGGATTGCTGGCCCAGTCTTTGAAACATAGGCTCTTTACTTAGGTTTATTATTTTTTTTTAATCTTGATAGTTTGTCTATGTAAAATGCAGAGAAATTGAGGATAAAAGTGATTCTTGGTAATAACCAAAAAGAATATTGAGTGTTGTAGAGTATTGTCTTTCCGCCAGCCTGGTTCCAGAGCCGCATCAGTCCCAAATGAACACATAGGGGGCTATATTAATTATTAAGCTGTTGGCCATTTGCTTTTTTCTTACTGGCTATCTCTGACTTAATTATTTAACCCATAATTGTTAATCTAAGTATTTCTCTTACCGGAGAAAGGGTCCGGACCTCTTAACTCCTCTGGTGGATACTTGATGTCTGCCTGTGTCTCTCAGAATTCTCTTCAACTCCTAGTCCCACCTATCTTGCTTCCCTATTGGCCAACAGTGCTTTATCGACATATTCACAGGACTTCCCCATCATCTCCTCTTTTCTGTCTAAATAAAAAGAAAGGTTTTAACTTTAACATAGTCAAATTATATATATATAACAGAACAGATATCAAGTAAGAACTATAGTTACAATATTTAGTCCATTAACATTTAGTAAGATTTAAAGAAAATATCATCTATCCTATCTTTGTGAGTCTAAAGTCTTATATGTAACTTATCTTTTATCATAACTAAGGAAAACTATAGCTACAACTATCTGTCTTTGACTCAAAGACCACAGAAGGGTAATAATATATAAACACTAGAATTCTCAGAGACATCTCGCTACCTGGACAGTCACCCAAAGTTCCTCTGTAACGTTGGGGCATCCATCTTCAGCTCATAGGCCACAATGTGTCTGGAAGACTTCTCAGCAAAGCAGGAAATTTTAAGCTGTTCATCGGCATTGGCAGTCTGTCATTCACTTTTCTGTGTCCTGTAGAAAGCCTGGTAGATTCTTCCATGAAGCAGGAACCCTATAAGACTGAGTTCAGCAGTCACTTTCCTGTGGGTCCTACATGTCCAGTTTATACAGCGAAGTCAAGCAGTCCAGGCAAGAGCAGTTTCTTGCCCAAATGACTCATCTTGCCATGTTGAAAGCAAACTCCATAATGAGTCTCTTCGATGCCCATCCTTCCACGTGATTGGTGCTGCCAGGAGCAGACATTTCTCATTGTCAAGAAAAACCCTAAGCCATTTTAAATGTCATGTTTTGAAGGTCTTTGAAAGGTCTGAAAGACTATCTATCTCAAATATATCTCTGTATATCTAGAAAACCTAACTAACCTAACTATAAGTTCTGACTATTATAAGTAACAATAATCTGTATTTAATTATGCATTACGTTTTTAAAAGATTAGTATAAAAACAATACTTAATCAGGAGGAGAAATATACATATCATTTTTCTTTTGTAGCAGTAAAAAATGTAGGAAAAAGACCAGCATTTTATGTGAGTTCATGTGTCTTTCTCTTTTCTTCTTGCACTTTTTTCTGTGTTCCTCCATCCTTATTTCTTGTTTTTAAACAGATGAGTTAGCTTATTTTAGTGCTTTACAGTTTTCATTTATAACAGAAGTTAATTAATAAATGCCAAATTGTAACTTGATGAATTTTACTGTGAGCCAGGCACTGAGGACTTGAAAGGTTTACTTACTTTTATTTTATGATATGAGTGTTTTCCCTGCATTTACGTATGTGAACCATGCGCATGCAGTGCCTGTGGAGGCCAGAAGAGGGCATTGGACCTGAGGAAACTGGAGTGTCATGTGGTTACTAGGCTCTTATGCTGTCTTGTCTGTACCTCATGGTTATATTTTCTATATCCTCCCTAACACTGGTGCTGACTAGAAAGGTGTTCCATCAGCCCATATATACTTGTATTTTTCAAGTTGGCCCTGTTTTTCGGAATAGTCTGTTAGCAGGCCCCATGCTTATACTGGTAGGATTTTTTTTCTAAGATTTTTGTCACTAATTCAACAGAGGAAGACAAAGGGGAAACTTTTAAACCTAATAATATTATAACTTATTCTTATTAGTATTAAAATAAGTTTACTGGAGATACTACAAAATGCAGTTAAGCAAAGAAAGAAAATAATTCCTGGTGGGCATGCTGGTACATGTCTGTAATCTCTGGGAAGCAGGAGGATTGCCAGTTTGAGGCCAGCCTGTACTGCATAATGAGGACCTGCATCAGAAAGTCAAAGAACATAATTTACAACTAGAACTTCACAGATAACTATAGTTTATATTTTGAGTATAACATTGCAAGTATTTTCTGTCTCATTATACAAGTTGATAATTTATCACAGATAAGTATACATACATAGACCGGGTTATTCATGTGTCATTTTCTTCATGATGGTGCATAGACTTTTGGGCAAATGAAATGACTCAGCTGGCCAAAGCACCTGCATGCAAAGCCTGACATCCAGAGTTTGACAAGGACCTTTTACAAGGCTAAGTCTCTTAAGGGTTCCACTGACATGCAGTAGCATCCTGGGAAGCAGCCCTTTATACACTAATCTTTCAGGGGATACTGCCCATTTCCAAACTGTAGCACTAATGAACATAAGACTTTTTATAACACCTTCAACTTGATAGTAACATGTGAAAATTATAGAAAAATTTTATTAGAACTCTTAAGAATCAATAATTAAAATTATAACAATTACAAATCATAGCTGCAAAATCATTTCATTTGCTGAATTGTTTAACATTTTATTTTTTGCTAGGCCTGGTGGTACAAGTCTATATCCTCTATATGGGGGGGGGAATACCATGGCGTGTGTGAAGAAACTGGGTCCAGGTGTGCTTAACTGTCTTTTATAGAACAGTGTGATTCATATATATTACATCCAGCCTCTTACATACTGGTTCCCCACTCCCAAGATAGGGTTTCTCTGTAGCCCTGGCTGTTTTGGAACTCACTGTGATCCGCCTGCCTCTGCCTTCCGATTGCTGGGACAAAAGGTGTGCACCACCAATGCTAGGCTCCTCTTACGTACTTTTAAGCTCATGTCTTAGTTTACTTACACAGTGGAAGTGCAATACTGTCTTTAGAGAATGGCAGGGAAACAGTATATTTAATTTCCCCAAGTATTTTCAGTTCTTGTTTGATTGAGTCAATTTGCAGGCTCATATGGAGGGCTGACTGTATATATTTGTATGTTACATATACTGCACTGCATGTGTATATGTATACATTCTGAAATTTGAACAATTAGTTATATTAACTACCCATTTAACCAAAATTCTGCATTAAGATTGATTGCAAATTCTTCCTATAATTGGGTAGAGGAACAGTTAGCTTCTTTTCCCCTTGCTGTTAGAGAAAACACTTTTGTGTATTAAAATGACAAACAAGGCTGAATAAGAAATCAAATTGCTAAATACTTATTATGGAAGTGCTTTGTAGTCTGTAATCTAGAGTGGTTAGTTTACTGTGGGGAACTGGATTAGTTACAGCTGAAAGTTCTTTTTCTCCTTCTGAGTTGAATTAGAGGATATAGTGAATGTTTGTATGTGGTTTGTGTTTTGGGTAGATAACACAGTCATTACAGTAACTACATTATTGCTAGGATTAATATAGCTAGTGCAGTTTAAGTTTGGGGGCTGAAAGTGTAATTCCTACTAATTTTTTGGATATTTAAGATGACTTTTATTTTACCCAGTAATAAATTGTAGATTCTTTCACTTTCATTGAATTCTAGGACGTCTTTAATTTCTTTCTTATTTCTTCCTTGACCCAGAGATGATTCAGTTGAGCATTGTTCAATTTCCACGAGTTTATAGGGTTTCTGCAATTAGTATTGTGTTGAATTCTGACTTTAAGCCATGGTGATCTTATATGATACAGGGGGTTATAAGGTTTGTTTTGTTACTGAGTAAAATTGTAGATTCTATTGATAGTATTTATTTAAATAATAAAGTATCCCTCCTCCCTTTTTTTCTGCTCATAGTGGTAGTCGCTCTTCTAAAACTTTTAAACCAAAGAAGAACATCCCAGAGGGTTCTCACCAGTATGAGCTCTTAAAACATGCAGAAGCCACACTTGGCAGTGGCAACCTCCGGATGGCCGTCATGCTTCCTGAGGGAGAAGATCTAAATGAGTGGGTTGCAGTTAATAGTAAGTAGCCTTTCTGTTTCTCAGCAGATTCTGCATTGGGTCAGTGACCTTACTGCAGGTGAAATGTTGAGGTACTATCTGTTGTAGGACCTATTTTCCTCATAGTCACAATATAGTGATGTCCTAATCCAATATTAGTCTTCATGTTATTTTATCTGAGGATGAAATTTTATGAAATGTCAGTAGAACTTCACTGTCGCATTATTTTTGAATTATGTAATTATGATGTGATTATAAGTAATATGATTTCTGGACTGAGAGTTTTGTTGTTAGAAATAATAAAAAGATTTGTTTTTTCACTTTATTGGTGAGCGACATCTTACCTATAAGATGATTTTTGTGACATCTCAAAGATAATCAGAATAAATTTCTTTTTTTTAAACTTTTTTTTAAGATTTTATTTATTTACTATGTATATAACATTCTGCCTCCATGTACGCCTGCAGGCCAGAAGAGGGCACCAGATCTCATTACAGATGGTTGTGAGCCACCATGTGGTTGCTGGGAATTGAACTCAGGACCTCTGGAAGAGCAGCCCGTGCTCTTAACTTCTGAGCCATCTCTCCAGACCCAGAATATATTTCTAATGTACGTGTACATTATTACAGGGTCTCACTGTGTAGGCCTGGCTGGCCTAGAACTCACTATGTAGATTAGGCTTGTCTTCAATTTAGACAGATCTACCTCCCTCCCAGTTGCTGGGACTAAAGGTGTGTGCTACCATGCATGGCTCTGCTCTGCCCCTCCTGTTCTTCCTCTCTTTTTCTCTCTTCTCTCTTCTGCCTTTTGACACTTGTTTGTGCTTTTGTACTTTTGAGACCCCATTTATTTATTTGGATTTTTCATATTTATTTATTTGTGTATTTGCATGTATGTGTTAATGTGTATGGGTACACATGCCACACCAAGTATGTGGAGGTCAGAGGACAGTCTTTTCTCTGTACTGTGTGAGTCCTGGGGATCGAACTCAGGTTGTCATGCTTGGTGGCAAGCACACCTACTCACTGAGTCATTTTGCCATTGTGCATATGCTAATTAAGAATGGCTGTGTAAGCCGGGCAGTGGTGGTGGCCCATGCCTTTAATCCCAGTACTCGGGAGGCAGAGGCAGGCGGATCTCTGTGAGTTCGAGGCCAGGCTGGACCAACAGTCTCCAAAACAATACAGAGAAACCCTGTTTGTAAAAACCAAAAAAAAAAAAAAAAAAGAATGGCTGTGTAAAACCCTTTATTGTAGAACCCAAGATATTAGGTATAGAAGCAGATAATTACCTTCTGTCTGTATTTTCTTTTTCTGAGTAGCTAAAACTGAGTGTCTGTGGTCCTGGAATAGCCATCAGTGTCTTTCTCTAGCCCCCGAATGCATACACAATTCAATTCACATTGTGTTGGCTTTTTCTATTTTGAAGTAATGTTTTTGCAGGGGGTAGCTTTAGAATGGCAACCCATTAGCATTTAAATTTGTGATTTCATTCTGTCAACATTTTTCATAGGATTTTGATTATCTAGAAAGGTTTTTTTGTGAGGGGGCATTTTAAATTGTTACTTTTCCTGGTGTATTGGCTTTTCTTTCTCACATATAGTTCTCTGTCTATTTTATGTATACATTTTTTTATGTGGGTTGCCAATAATTTTTCACACTCTTTTCTTGCTCTCTATTTTATATAGTTAGCAGTTGGGGCTTTGATGTAAGCTTTCCACCTGCTTTGGTAGGGAAAAAAACCTGGGGTTCTGCTTAAATAGAGTAAAGTTACTTTTTTACCGTCTTTTTTTTTTTTTTTTACTTATAATGGACATTTGCTTTGCAGCTGTGGATTTTTTCAATCAAATCAATATGCTTTATGGAACCATCACAGACTTCTGTACAGAGGAGAGTTGTCCGGTGATGTCAGCTGGACCAAAGTAAGATATGGTTAATAATCAGTTTTCCTTGCTCTTAGGTGAGAAGGAAGTGTCTAGCCTTGCACTTCCTGGGTTCTAGCAGTTCCCTCAGTGGTCTTCCTGTGCTTGCCTTTCCTCTCTGTATACGGTATCTTTCCCCATCCACCTGAACTAGCTTCCTGGAAACTCCTTGCCAGTTACTGTTTCTTCTGAAAAGTTGCTTCTTCTATCCTTCTTGGACATTTTTCTTCCTTTGTGTTTCTTCTTTTTATCTTACGTTAAAGTTTTAAAATATCTCACCCTTGTTCCAGGCCCCTGCTGAACATTTTGTCACTGGAGTTCTTCAGTGTGGATGGGCTCTTTCTGCCCAGCCTTTCCATTTTAAAAGATTGTTTTTAGTGTGTGTGTGTGTCTAAGTGTGTTCATGTGAGTGTAAGTGCTCAGAAGCATCTGATCTGGAGCTGCTGCAGGTTGGAGCCTATCTCAGATCCTCTGGAAGAGCTTTGCAGGCTCCAAATAGCTGAGGCATCTTTCCAAGCCCTAGTAGTTTCTCTCTTATAATGATACATTTTTTTTATTATGTTGTGTTTAATCCTGTAATATTATATTAGGGTTCAAGCTGAAGATCAGAAAACCAAAGCAGCCAGACCAGTAGCCCTTACCTCTACCAAGCTGAAATTGCAATCCTGTCTCCTCGAATCCTCAGAGACAGTGTTCTTCAGGAATCCTCAGAGGCAAATGCTCAGACCTCCTGTCTCCTCCCGCCTTGTATTCCTCTCTCTGCCCAGCCATATCACTGCTGTCTCCACCTCCCTAGTACTGGGATAAAAGGTGTGTGATCCCAAAGGCTAAGATCTCCTTTGTGTGAGCTCTTTCTCTTTTTAGACTGAACCACTCTTGCGTAGCCCTGGGTGGCCTTGAACTCACAGAGATCCATTTACTTCTGTCTCCTGAGTCCTGGAATTAAAAGTTTGTACCACCACTGCCTGGTCTGTATGCTTGTGGCTAGCTTTGCATTCTGAACCCTCAGAGGAGCTTTATTAAATCATAAATAATATCACCACAATATTGTATGTGCGGTCAAGATCAAATCAAGGGTGTCAGGTGTGCTACTCAAATTCTTTGTTCTTTTAAATCTGTCTTTGTGTAAAGATAGCATTTATCACTTCCTCAGTAATCAGTATTGGTTGGCTCTGCCCTTTTGAAATTAGCTTTTATAAAGGCCACTGCTATTTATTTAGTGATATGTAAATATATCATGTATCATGACGAACATACAGAATTTAGTCAGCTGATGATAGATAAACTTGCAGCAGAGATATGGAAGCTCGGGAAAGGTGGTGTTGCTATCTTAGGAGGTCAATACACATTGGTCATTCTTACTAGAAAAGCAGAGAGCTCTGTTTTGCCCTACATTACTTTATTGCCCACAGGAGGGAGTTTCTCCACATCTCACTTCCCTGCTTCTTTTAGATTTCATCTGTTAGAATTGTAACTGGTGGTTTTCACCTCTTGAGGAACTCTTTATTTTGGAGAACTGTTCTTTATGGAACTTTTGTTGCTGCTTTTTTGAGACAGTCTTTGTGTAGCCCAGTTTGTCCTGTAACTCCCTATGTAGATCAGGCTAACCTCAAACTCACAGAGATCTGCATGCCTCTGTTTTCTGAATTCTGAGATGAATGGTGTGTACCACCACACCTGACCCTTTGTAAATCTTTAATCAGAAATGCCTTTTGTTTTCAAATTTGATTTTAAATGAATTAGATGTTGCTTTGGCTAAATATTGTGGTTTGGACAGATGAAAATGTCTTAGTTTTATCATATTTCTGTCCCTTGTTATTTTAAGATCTCATAAGAAAAAAAGGCATTGGAGAAAATAAATTTCCTTTTATAACTTAATTCCTATTGGTACTATTGGTGTTCAGTTCAGATGTTTAAAGTCTCCTGTGGAAATAGATGGTTTAAATTTTGTTATTACACGGTTAGTATGTATGGAAGAACAAAGTAGCTCTACCTTTGGGAAAGAAAAGCAGATTCTTCTGCAGCACATTGCCTGCCCACCTGCTCCTCACATCTTCCCTGTGCAGTTCAGGTAGGCATTAGACGAGAATCCTTCTTAGTTGTGTTGGGATTATAGCTGTGCCCACCATGCCCAGCTCTTTTTCCTTTTCCTTCCTTCGGTTTTTGAGAGTTTTCCCTCCCAAGGCAGGCTTTTTCTGTGTAGCCCAACCTGTCCTAGAACTTGCCAGATTGGCCTCAAACTCAGCTTGCCTCTGCCTCCCAAGTGCTAGGATCAGAGGTATACACCGTTACCACCAGGCAAATGAAGTCATTTGTGTGAAAAAAAATATCTGACAGAAGAGACTTGAAGAAAGGCTCAATTTTGGCTCATAGATTCAGGGCATTTCAGTCTGCCACAGTGGGGAAGGCATGGCTGATGGGTTGGCATGGAGCAGAGATGATCAGGAAAGATATTGGAGGATCAGGAGAGACAGCTCCAGTTGAAATCTTCAAGGCCTGTCCCCGTGATATACGAGCACCATTTGTACATGAGCCTGTGACACATTTCAAACTCACACCATAAGAAAATCTTAATTATAAACATAACAAAAGAAAAGACTAGGGAAGGAATTATGGTTTAAGTGCTAGAGTTATAAACAACATATAGTTGTTTAATTTTTCAAAAAATCTTAGCATATTGAAAGTTGAGATTTTGTAAAACTCCAGGATATTGAATATGAATCTTTCTGTCCCACCAGCCAGTGCCCAAATAACCACAGAGACTTAATATTAATTATAAATGCTCAGCTGATGGCTTAAACTTTTAACTAGCTCTTATAAGTTAAATTAACCCAATTCTATTAATTTATATGCTGCCTCAAGCTCGTTTACCTGCACACTCTCCATCTCATGGTGTCTCCTTGAGACTCTTGAGACTCTGCCCTTTTTCCTCCTAGTCTGACCTTCCCACCCAGTCTCTTCCTGCCCAGGTATAAGCCTGTCAGTCATCTCTTTATTAACCAGTGAGAGTGATACACATTCACAGTGTACAAAGATTGTTCCAGAGCAGTTCTCCTTTTTGTCTAATTAAAAGTAAAATTGTACACAACAAAAACAGTTATCAAGTAAGAATACAATTACAACATTCAGTCCATCTATATTTGGCAAATTTAGAGAAAATACCCTATTATTTATTTTGTCTTTGTAAGTCTAAAATTTTATATTCAATTTACTTTTTATCATAACTTAGGAAAACTTTAAGTCTAATTAATCTTTTTATTTTTTTGGTTTTTCGAGACAGAGTTTCTCTGTATTGTTTTGGAGTCTGTCCTGGAACTCGCTCTGTAGACCAGGCTGACCTTGAACTCACAGAGATCCGCCTGCCTCTGCCTTCTGAGTGCTGGGATTAAAGGCATGCACCACCAACGCCTGGCTGTCTAATTAATCTTTTAACTCCATCAAAGACTCCAGAAGGGTGGAATGTTACCTAATGACAGGGACATCTGGCTGCCTGGCCAGTCACCCAACAGTCAAAAACCACAATAACATATGGGGTCCAGACTCTGTATTTTTCATCTTTACATGGCTTATTATATTTTTTAATTGCTTTCATCCTTTTTAAGGACTTTATTATTTTTAAATTATATTTTATTCTATGACTGTATATATTCTCTTTTTTTCTCACAAGCTTATGTGTATCTTTAACACACTGTAACGTGTTTAGAAGTTTCTTTTTTTTTAAGATTTGTTTATTATGTAGTATTCTGTCTGCACATATGCCTGCAGTCCAGAAGGGGGTGCCAAATCTCACTACAGATGGTTTTGAGCCACCATGTGGTTGCTGGGAATTGAACTCTGGACCTTTGGAAGAACAACCAGTGCTCTTAACCTCTGAGCCATCTCTCCAGCCCTAGAAGTTTCTTTCATCTAGATCTGTCTTTATCGAGCACCTGTAGTGTTCTCTGATTTCATGAGATGAATCCTAACCTGCTATGCCAGCTGCTGGCTCAGCTTAGAGCATGGTGGCGGGAGGCTGGCTCCATCCTGCAGGCAGCTGCGGGAAGATGAATCTCTGTACTGTGACTGGCGTGAGAGACACGAGACTAGGAAGCCATGTTTAGCTCCATTCTTATTGTTTAGAACCGTTTTTAAACTCAGGTCTTATGTGGGTGTATGCCCCACATTGAAATGGCATTTGTAGCTGGACTTTTCTGTCCCATCAACCAGTTCCCAAATAACCACACAGAGACTTAACATTAATTATAAATGCTTGGCTGATAGCTTAGATTGGTTTTAATTAGCTCTTACAAATTAAATGAACCCATTTCTCTAAATCTAGATGCTGCCCCAGAGTCTCGTTTACCTCATGTATGTGTTTCCCATTCTGTTCACTCTGCATCTCATGGCGTCTCCTCAAGATTCCTCAGACTCTGCCCTCCTTCCCAGGATCCTCCTAGTCTGGCTCTCCATCCCAATCTCTTCCTGCACAGCTATAGGCCATTCAGTTCTTTATTAACCAGTGAGAGTAATACATATTCACAGTATACAAAGATTTTTCCACAACAAATAAGCTAACAAAGATGTTGTGATGAAAGGGTAAAGGCTTTCAAGTTTCTTTTTTTTTTTTTTTTTTTTTTTGGTTTTTCGAGACAGGGTTTCTCTGTGGCTTTGGAGGCTGTCCTGGAACTTGCTTGGTAGTCCAGGCTGGTCTCGAACTTGCAGAGATCCGCCTGCCTCTGCCTCCCGAGTGCTGGGATTAAAGGCGTGCGCCACCAACGCCCGGCCTGGCTTTCAAGTTTCTTAATGTAGAGAGAAAATATAGGTGCCCCTTTGTTTCTTTTTAAAAATTTTTTTTATTTTATGTGCAATGGTGTTTTGCCTACATGTATGTTTGGGTGAGGGTGTTGGATGCCCTGAAACTAGAGTTGTAGACTAATGTGAGCTGCCATGTGAAGCTAACAATTGAACCCAGATCCTCTGGAACAGCAGCCAGTTCTCTTAACTAATGAGCCATCTCTCCAGCCTACCTTCTTGTTTCTTTCCTTTTTTTTTTTTTAGTTTTTCGAGACAGGGTTTCTCTGTATTGTCTTGGAGGCTGTCCTGGAACTCGCTTTGTAGACGAGGCTGGCCTCGAACTCACAGAGATCCACCTGTCTCTGCCTCCCAAGTGCTGGGATTAAAGGCGTGTGCCACCAACGCCCGGCCTACCTTCTTGTTTCTTAAAGATTCATTTGTTTATTATTTCATATGTATGAGTATGTACCATGTATATTCAGGAGCCTGCAGGGGCTAGAAGAGAGTAAGTATCAGATCCCCTAGAACTGGAGTTACCAGGGTAGCTGCAAACTACCATTTGAGTGCTGGAAATTGAACTCAAGTCCTCTGCAAGAGCAGTAAGCACACTTAATTGTTAAGTCATCTCTCCAACCCTAAGTTCATGTTTCTTTAGTGAAAAGTAATGATAGTCAAATCTTACTCAAAGAAAAAGAGGCCTAAAGTTGCACTATTTAAATTTTATAATAGAGGAAATTCTGACTATGAAAGTGATTACCCATCACACCAGGGTACCAGGAAGTGTTGGGAGACTCTCTCCTTTGAGACTTCACAGTGGATTTGATGGTCATTCCTTGTGGTTGAAAGTGATAATAAAGCCTATTCTTTTTTTTTTTTTGTTTTGGTTTTGGTTTTTCGAGACAGGGTTTCTCTGTGGCTTTGGAGGCTGTCCTGGAACTTGCTTGGTAGTCCAGGCTGGTCTCGAACTCACAGAGATCCGCCTGCCTCTGCCTCCCGAGTGCTGGGATTAAAGGCGTGCTCCACCAACGCCCGGCAATAAAGCCTATTCTAAGAATGTTTATTAAAGTGTATTGTTGCTTAGATGTTTTGGATTACTATTAAGGTGTAGATTTGATAAATAGGAAGGATCATCATTCATACTATTTAAGATCATTTTTACCTGTTCAAACACCATGTAGTAATTCTCTGTTACATTGCTATTTTGTTAGGCTCACTGGCCTATTCTTCAGTCAGGTCAAACTCTGGGGGAAAGGTTAGAAAACAGTTGATTTAAAAAAGTGAAGTAGTAGCCGGGCGTTGGTGGCACACGCCTTTAATCCCAGCACTGGGGAGGCAGAGGCAGGCGGATCTCTGTGAGTTCGAGGCCAGCCTGGTCTACAAAGTGAGTTCCAGGACAGCCTCTAAAGCTACAGAGAAACCCTGTCTCGAAAATCAAAAACAAAAAAACAAAAAACAAAAAACAAACAAACAAAAAAAAAAGTGAAGTAGTAGCTGGGTGGCGGTAGCACTAGCCGTTAACCCCAGCATTTGGGAAGCAGAGGCAGAAAGATCTCTATGAGTTCAAGGCCAGCCTGGATTACAGAGAGTTCCAGGACAGCCAGGATTACACAGAGAAACCCTGTCTTGAAAAACCAAAAAAAGAAAAGTGAAGTAGTGCTGGGTGGTAGTGGCACTCTCCTTTAATCACATCACTTGTGGTGGAGGAGCAGGTGGATCTCTGAGTCCAAGGCTAGCGTGGTATACAGAATGAGTTCCAGGACACTCAGGGCTATACAGGGAAACCCTAACCCAAAAAACAAAACAACAACAAAAAAAGTGAGGTAGCAGAAGAAATGTTGGAACCTAAAAATCTCCATGCCAATTCAGTTTATACATTTCTGTATTTTGGAGTTTCAGCTGTTTACTTAGTTCCTTAAGCCTAGGTTGATGTATGTGAATACTGTACAGTCTGTACTCATTTTACAATACACACAGGGAGGTGTGTGTGTGTGTGTGTGTGTGTGTGTGTGTGTGTGTGTGTGTGTGTGTGTGTGTGTGTGTGTGTGAGAGAGAGAGAGAGACATGAAAAGCTGTTTTTAAGAAAATAACTTGAGGGTTTAGCCTGAATATAGATCAAGTAACTTGTTTTATATTTGCATTTATAGATAGATATTTCAAGGGTAAATTGTTAATTTTAGACAGGTAGTTCATACATATTTTTATTTATACATTTATGGCCATCTGTTCTACTAATCTGCTTTTCAGAGTAGGGGAAGTACATTTCATTTTAGTGTTCCTTGTTCCTGACCTTGTGTTTCTCACATGATGGTTGCATATTAAATCAAAGGGTAATATTAATACTGAAAACAAGAGCATTTTTGAGTTGCCAATTTCTTTTAAGGGTATATTAGTTCCTTGTATAAATTACTAAACTAATGAACCATTATTTATATTAGCTTTACTTCAAATTTTCTGTCATTCTTTATACTTAACCCCAAATTTAAAGTTCCAAGTAAAAAGAATTACACTGAATTTTATGTAAGGAAGGAAAACAACTATAAAGTTCAGAGGTAGCCATGGAGTAATAACTTCCATTTCAGCAATATATTATTTTACTCTGTGTTAGAGAGAACTCTGACGCAGGGGCTGTGCTTGGCAACCTATGCTTTAACCCCACTATTTGGGAGGCAGAGTCAGGTCGATCTCTGAGTTCCAAGCCAGCCTGATCTACACAATGAGAGACTTTTTTCTCTTTTTTTTAAAGAAAGAAAAAAGAAAGAAAGGAAAAGACAGAAAATGGAATAAGTGAGAACATCTAAATAGAGGATGAGTTTGATGGAATCTCCTTAGGTTGGATTGTGATAACAGCATAACAGGCTGCTGTTGATTAAAAATGTGTACTTACTTGGAAGAACAGATTGTTTACAACACGTCTGTGTACACATTTATAATACATGCACATATCTGTGCACATTCATACCTCTCCTGATGTTCTGTGCGCTTTCCGTCTTTTCATCACAGATACGAGTATCACTGGGCAGATGGAACAAACATAAAAAAGCCTATCAAGTGCTCTGCACCAAAGTATATTGATTACCTGATGACCTGGGTTCAGGACCAGCTGGATGATGAAACATTATTCCCATCAAAAATTGGTAAAATTATTTTATGTAGTTGGGATAAATTGTGATGTATTTAATTTTATAGTTCTATAATTACTGCCTCTTTCTTCCTGTCCTAACCATTTGAGTGATTCCTTGGGACTGTGTTGATGAATGTGTTTATTATGCAGTTTCTAAGAAGAGGCACCAGAGCCGGGCGGTGGTGGCGCACCCTTTAATCCCAGCACTTGGGAGGCAGAGGCAGGCGGGTCTCTGTGAGTTCGAGGCTAGCCTGGTCTACAGAGCGAGTTCCAGGACAGCCTCCAAAGCAATAAAGAGAAACCCTGTCTCAAAATATCAAAATAAGAAAAAAAGAAAAAGAAAAAGAAAATAAAAAAAAAAGAGGCACCAGAGCTTGCTGAGTCATAGCATAAGCAACTGTATCATGTAAATTGTTTTTTTCACTCTTTCAACTAATGTTTTAGATACATATTAGTTGAAAGTCTACACTTGAAAGAAAAGATCTACTTCTTGACTTAATTTACTATTTGCTAAAATTTAAGTTCTTTTTTCTTCCAAGACACGGTTTGTCTGTGTAGCTCTGGCTGTCCTAGAACTTACTCTGTAGGACAAGCTGTCCTTGAACTCAGAGATCTGCCTGCCCCTGCCTCCTGAGTGCTGGGATTAAAGGTATGTGCTCAATATTCAAGCTGCCTTTTTTTTCCCCTTTCTTTAAAGAAAAAATTATAAATACTTAGTAGTTTTCCTTTTCAGTAGCAAATTCCAGATGGAAGCATATTACTGTTCTAGCAGCTATAGCAGGTTACCACGTCAATCAAAATGTTTCTAATTTTATACATTTCAAGAGTGTTCTTGTGTCCCTTTTCCCACTAAATTTATTAACGATACTGCCTTACAGTTTTAAGTGATGGGCAGATGAATTTATGATATAGGAAGGTAGTAAAATCTGGCCTATCCTAAGACAGCTAATAGTACCTATTCCTGTAAACTTTCTTTTTCCCCAAAGTTCACATAACTTGTATTTAGTTTTATACTTACGATAAAGAAGAGTGTGGTTTCACGGGGCGTTAATCCCAGCACTTGGGAGGCAGAGGCAGGCGGATCTCTGTGAGTTCTAGGGCAGCCTAGTCTACAGAGTGAGTTCCAGGACAGCCTCCAAAACAATACAGAGAAACCCTGTCTCGAAAAACCAAACAAAAAACAAACCAACAAACAAAAACAAAAAAAAAAAAAAGGAAGAGTGTGGTTTTTATGGCTCATAAAATTTTTTTATTTTGTTCTTTTGAGTTAGGGTCTCTCTCTAGTTCAAGCTGGCATCAAACCCGTGGCAATCCTGTCTGAGCCTCCTGAGTGTGGATATAGGCATAGGCCATTACACATGATATAGATTTTGAAATCAAGATATGTGAGAAGAAAAAACTAGATTTGAGGATTTGGCTTGACATAGATTGAGTGACTGCTTTGGTGTATTTGCTTAAAGTAGACTTGTCAATTCTACCTTGTTGCCATTGGACAGTTAATATGTGTTTGTACCTTTTCAAACTGTTACAGCTATGTTTTTAATTGATTAACCCTTAGAGTGTTGTTAAACAACTTTTGGCTAAAGCACTGTTCTCCTATCTTAGGTCTCGTTTGTGTTTTTCAGGTTTTCTTAGTAATGTCCTTTCTAGCTAAAGATCATTGGTAGTGGTTTTTATACAGTGCTGTGTCTAGAATATGTGCACTTCAGTCCTTTTTCTTCATGACTTTGCTATTTTAGAATGTCCTTTGGTTGTGGTGTGCTTGTTTCCTTATGATTTATGAAATGGGCAATAGTATTATGACATTGAGCCAATAATACCAGTGTTTGCTTGTATTGCCAAGTTAAACATTTAGAATATAGGATTTTATATTCTTTTAAAAAAGTTACAGCCGGGCGTTGGTGGCGCATGCCTTTAATCCCAGCACTCGGGAGGCAGAGGCAGGCGGATCTCTGTGAGTTCGAGGCCAGCCTGGTCTACAAAGTGAGTTCCAGGACAGCCTCCAAAGCCACAGAGAAACCCTGTCTCGAAAAACCAAAAAAAAAAAAAAAAAGTTACTTATGACTACTGTGTATATGCATGTGTGTGCATGTGAAGTTAGAGGTCAACTATGTGGAGTCGGTTCTCTCCTTCATCTTCTTATGCTTTCTGGAGATTGGACTCAGGTGATCTGGTTGGCCCAGCAAGTACTTTACCTGCTAAACCATCTCCCTGGCTCAGATTCTTATTAGAATAAAAAATTTTATATATTTGTTATAGATATGATGCTAAGATATATATTGATAGTAAAATAGTTTTTATAGTAAAACAAATTAATGTGCATTGTGTTACAGTTAATCCATTTTATTCTTTTATGAAGCAGCTATAATTACCCAACTAATAAAATCTCAGTAAGGTATATTATTACTAGTTTTGTTCTTATATTTTATATTAGATCTTTAAACTTGATTATCTTGTGTCTTTGCTATAGACATTTTCTATATATCTCTGACCTACATTCTCTCAAATCCTAGCTCTTTAACCCAGCAACCATGATTTTATTCTCTCTATATATTATTTTCTTTTTCACTCAAAATGTAAGATTGAATCTTTTTAGGTCTAGTGTGCACTTAGGATAATATCCTCCCAAATTCAAATCTCCTTTTTTTCTTTTTCTTTTTTTTTTTTTTTTTTTGAGATAGGCTCTTGCTATGCATCCCAGGTTGGACTTGAACTCACTACCGTCATGCCTCAGCCTCCGACGTGCTTAGATTACAGATAGGTGTCACTATGCCTGGATCAGGATCTCCTTAAGGCTAATTTGTGTGTATCTGTGTGTCTGATATATTAAATATAACAAAAGTGGTTAATATATTTATTCATGCTGGGTGCTGGTGACACACTCCTTTAATCCTAGCACTTGGGAGAGAGAGGCAGGTGGATCTCTAAATTCAGGCCTGGTCTACAGAGAGCTCTAGGACAGGCGCCATAGCTACAGAGAAACCCTGTATTGAAAAACCAAAACAAAAAAACAAAAAACAAAAAACAAAAAAAAAACAAAATAAGAAAGAAAGAAAAGTACATTACTCATGTTGGCACATATTTGTGTGGAGCTTAATGCTAACAGGTCTAACGATCTGCTGCCTTGTAGGTGCTTATTTGTAAAGTGGCAGTATGTTAGAAGTACAATATGCCATAAAGAAGAGTCATTCTTATTTTTAAAAATTTACTTTCTTTCATCATGTGCCAAGAACTTCTCAAAGATTTTATGGGCATGAAAATAGGGATTCATATATATTAAATCTTTCAACCCTGTTACTGCTTGATGGCAAATCATGCTACTTTGTTCTCTTTTCTTATTAATAGAGGGACCTTATCTCTCTACTAGGTGTTCCGTTCCCGAAGAATTTCATGTCTGTGGCAAAAACAATTCTCAAACGACTCTTTAGAGTTTATGCTCACATTTATCACCAACATTTTGATCCTGTGATCCAGCTTCAGGAGGAAGCACATCTCAATACATCTTTCAAGCACTTTATTTTTTTTGTTCAGGTAAGTTGACTCATAAGGCTTTTTTGCTTCATGTTTATTTTTAGAATTCTGTGATGCATATACACAGTCAGACGAACAGAACTTGTTATCTCTAATCTATATCCTGTTTTATACGTTTTATGATATAATGACAGGCTTTTGCTTCTTAATTTCATTAGTCTACAAGTTCATGGTAGTCAGCTCTGAAAGAGTCCCAGAATGCCTTGTCTTGCTTGGACTGCGTCAATTTCCAGGCCATATGAAAGGGCTAAATAAGAAGTCTGAATAGTGAGTCAGATATGATGTTATTTGTCTATAATCTTGGCACTGGAGAGGCTGAAGTGTAAGGATTGAGTTCAAGGCCAGCTTGCTTCTTAGCTAGTTTCAGGCTGTCTTGGGCCATGAAATTCTGTTTCAGCAAACAACAGAAACAAGCAACAAGCAAAATCAAAACCAAGCTGGGCGGTGGTGGCGTACGCCTTTAATCCCAGCACTGGGGAGGCAGAGGCAGGCTGATCTCTGTGAGTTCGAGGCCAGGCTGGACTGACAGCCTCCGAAACAATACAGAGAAGCCCTGTCTCGAAAAACAAAAAAACCAAAACCAAAGTAGGGGAAAAATGGAATCAGAATGTGAACTAGTTGGGCATACCTGTAGTGAGCTTGGTATCAAGTGTTCTAGTACTCCTTCTCTTAAACTTCTACTTTAAAAAGAAAAATTTAGGATTTCTATTAGTGGATTTTCTTATCGATACACATACACACGCACGCGCGCGCGCACACACACACACACAAACAAATATAGGCATATATATATGTATATATATATTACAAAACATACACATACATACTTTGAGTACTACATAATTATTGCCTCACTTGCTTTTTGTTTTTAAAATTTTTTTGTTTTTTGTTTTATTTATTTATTTATTTATTTATTTATTTATTTATTTATTTATTTATTGTGTATACAGTCTTCTGTCTGCATGCCAGTGGAGGGCACCAGATCTCATTCAAGGTGGTTGTGAGCCACCATGTGGTTGCTGAGAATTGAACTCAGGACCTCTGGAAGAACAGTCAGTGCTCTTAACCGCTGAGCCATCTCTCCAGCCCCCTTGTTTTTTTTAAATTTTTTATTGTATACTTAAATTAGAAACAAGCTTGCTTCCCATGTCAGTCCCAGCTCCCTCTCCCTCCCCTCCATACCCACTCCCTCCACAGCCCCCCAAGCCACCCCACCCAATCCCCACTCCATTCCGAAGGGACGGTATGGCCCTCCATGGGGGATCTCTAGAGTTTGTTATTTCGCCCTCCCCCAACTGTCCAAATTGAGATGGGCACCCAAAGTCCATTTGTGTGCCAGGGTTAAATACTGATCTACTACTCAAAGCCCCATAGGTTGCCAAGGCCTCCTCACTGACACCCACATTCAGGGGTTCTGGATCAGTTTCATGCTGGCCTCTCAGCCATCAGTCTGGGGTCCAAGATCTCCCCCTTGTTCAGGTCAACTGTTTGTCTGGGTTTCACCAGCCCAGTCTTGACCCCTTTGCTCATCACTCCTCCCTGTCACTGGGTTCCAGGAGTTCAGGTCAGTGTTTAGCTGTGGGTATCTGCCTCTGCTTCCATCTGTCACTGGATGGAGGTTCTAGGATGGTATATAAGATAGTCGTCAAAATCATTATCAGGGTGGGACATTTAAGGTAGTCTCTTCACTACTGCTTAGTTTGCCAGTAGATCTCTGGAAATCTCACTACTGCTAGATCTCCCCTCAAACCTAGAATGACTCCCTCTATTATGATATCTCTCATCCTGCTCTCCTCTATTCTTCCCCAACTCAAACCTCCTGCTCCCTCATGTCCTCCTCTCCCCTCCTCTCCCTCTCTTTTTCTTGGCTCCCCCACCCCAGTGCTCCCAATCTGTTCAGGAGATCTTGCCACATTCCACCTTCTCTGGGGTGCCATGCATATCTCTCTTAGGGTCCTTCCTGTTTTCCAGATTCTCTGGCAGTGGGATTGTAGGCTGGCACTCCTCTGATCCATGTTTAAAATCCATATATGAGTGAGTATATACCATGCTTGGTTTTTTTTTTTTTTGTGACTGGGTTACCTTACTCAGAATGGTTTCTTCTAGTGCTGTCCATTCGCCTGCAAATTTCAAGATTCCATTGATTTTTTTTTTTCCTGCAGAGTAGTGCTCCATTGTGTAAATGTACCACATTTTCTCTATCTACTCTTCTGTTGAGGGGCATCTAGGTTGCTTCCAGGTTCTGGCTATTACAAATAATGCTGCTATAAACATAGTGGGAACAGGAGTCCTTGTTGTATGAACGTGCATCTTTTGGGTATATGCCTAAGAGTGGAATTGCTGGGTCTTGTGGTAGGTTTATTCCCATTTTCCTGAGGAATCTCCATACTGCTTCCCAAAGTGGCTGTACGAGTTGGCACTCCCACCAGCAGTGGAGGAGTGTTCCCCTTTCTCCACATCCTCTCCAACATAAACTGTCATTGGTATTTTTGATTTTAGGCATTCTGACAGGAGTAAGATAGTATCTCAGAGTTGTTTTGATTTGCATTTCCCTGATTGCTAGGGATGTTGAGCACATTCTTAAGTGTCTCTCAGCCATTTTAGATACCTCTACTGAGAATTCTCTATGTAGTTCTGTACCCCACTTTTTAATTGGTGCTTTGGAGACTTGCTTCTTGAGTTCTTTGTAGATTTTGGAGATCAGTCCTCTGTCAGATGTGGGGTTAATGAATATCTTCTCCCATTCTGACTATGTTTTTTATCTTACAGAAGCTTCTCAGTTTCAGGAGGTCCCATGTATTAATTGTTGATCTCAGTGTCTGTGCTACTGGTGGGTGTTATTGTTCAGGAAGCGGTCTCCTGTACCAGTTCGTTCAAGGGTACCACCCACTTTCTCTTCTAAGAGGTTCAGTGTGATTGGATTTGTGTTGAAGTCTTTGATCCATTTGGACTTTGTGCATGGAGATAGACATGGATTTATCTGCAGTCTTCTACATGCCAGCATCATTTGTTGAAGATGCCTTCTTTTTTCCATTGTATATTTTTAGCTTCTTTGTCAAAAACCAAGTGTTCATACATGTGTGGGTTAATATCAGGGTTTTCTGTCGCGTCAGCTGCTCGGCCTGTGTCCGAGAACGTGCAGAGGGTGTCGGGAATTGACAACACAGAGACTCGTTCAACGATGTAAAGAAAACTTTAAGCAGGTCCCAAAAAGATTCAAGAAAACTTCCTAAGAAAGGCTCCCTCCAGAGAAGCTTCTGCTCTCTCCTCTACCCTGGCTGGTTCTGCTCTGACACCAAAAACTGATCTGGGTGTGTCAGAAGAGGCGGTTAGTCTTTTGACAAGGTCAAGGTCAGGGCGGTTTCCATGGGCAGGCCTTTTCCAGGAACATATTGCCCCGGGCATTGTATTGTTTTTAGTAAACATTGTCTTACAGCTGCCTACTCCCAAGCCGAAGGGGAAATGGGTCTCTGCTCAAGGTCTGGTGTCCCCACAGTTTTCATTTTGATTCCATTGGTCTACCTGTCTATTTTTGTGCCAATACCAAGCTGTTTTTACGACTATAGCTCTATAATAGAGCTTGAAATCAGGGATGGTGATGCCTCTGGATGTGCCTTGTTGAACAGGGTTTTTTGTTTTTCCATATAAAGTTGAGAATTGTTCTTTCAAGGTCTGTGAATAATTGTGCTGGGATTTTAATGGGGATCGCATTGAATCTGTAGATTGCTTTTGGCAAGATTGCCATTTTTGGCCGGGCGTTGGTGGCGCATGCCTTTAATCCCAGCACTTGGGAGGCAGAAGCAGGCAGATCTCTGTGAGTTCGAGGCCAGCCTGGTCTACAAGAGCTAGTTCCAGGACAGCCTCCAAAGCCACAGGGAAACCCTATCTCGAAAAATCGAAAAACCAAAAAAAAAAAAAAAAAAAAAAAAAAAGATTGCCATTTTTACTATGTTGATCCTACCTATCCAAGAGCATGGAAGATCTTTCCATTTCCTGGTGTCTAATTTCTTTCTTTAAAGACTCAAAGTTCTTGCTATCCAGCTCTGTCACTTGTTTGGTTAGGGTTACTCCAAGGTATTTTATGTTGTTTGTGTAAAGGGTGATGTTTCTATCATGTTTATAGTAGGGCTACTGATTTTCTTGAGTTGATCTTTTATCCTGCCACTTTGCTGAAGGTATTTATCAGCTGTAGGAATTCCCTGGTAGAGTTTTTTGGGTCACTTATGTAAACTATCATATCCTCTGCAAATAGTGAAAGTTTGGCCTCTTCCTTTCCAATTTGTATCCCCTTGATCTCCTGCTGTTGTCCAGAAAATTTTCCATTTCCTTTAAACTTTTGAATTTTGTGGAGTACAAGTTTTCAAAGGATGACCTGATGATTCTCTGTTGTTATGTTCCCCTTTTCATTTCTGTATTTGTTAATTGGCATGCTCACATTCTGTCGTTTGGTAAGTTTGGATAAAGGTTTGTCTAGTTGATTTTTCTGAAAGAACCAACTCTTCATTACATTGATTCTTTATTGATTTCAGCCCTCAATTTGATTATTTCCTGGCGTCTACTCCTCTGGAGTGAATTTGCTTCTTTTTGTTCTAGAGCTTTCAGCTGTGCTGTTAATTCTCTAGTGTGACTATTCTCCAGTTTCTTCATGTGGGCACTTAGTGCTATCAACTTTGCTCTTAGCGCTGCTTTCAAAGTGGTCCCACAAGGTTGGCTATGTTGTGTCTTCATTCTCATTGAATTCTAGGAAGTCTTTAATTACTTTTTTTATTTCTTCTTTGACCCAGGAGTGGTGCAATTGTGCATCATGCAATTTCCATGAGTTTGTAGGGTTTCTACAATTTGTGCTGTTGTTGAATTCTAACTTTAAAGCATGGTGGTCTGACAAGATGCATGGAGTTATTCCAATTTTTTTTGTACCTGTTGAGGTTTGGTATGTTGCCAAATATGTGGTCGATTTTTGAGAAGGTTCCATGTGGCACTGAGAAGAAGGGTATATTCTTTTGTTTTGGATGAACTGTTGTATAGATGTCTATTAAACCTAATTGCGTGATAACTTCTATTAGTTCCTTTGTTGAGTTTCTGTCTGGTATTCCTGTCTAGTAGTGAGTGTGGGGGTGTTGAAGTCTCCCGCTATAAGTGTGTGAGGTTTTATGAGTTTTAGTAATGTTTCTTTTACAAACCTGGACACCTTTGTGTTTGGGGCAGTATTGAGACTTCATCTGGGTAGATTTCTCCTGTGATGAGTATGAAATGACCTCTTTCATCTCTTGTGATTGATTTCAGTTTAAAGTCTAGTTAGATATTAGAATTTCTACCCCTGCTTGTTTATTGGGGCCATTTGACTGGACCCAATAAGTTAAGTTACCCTTAACTGAGGTAACATCTGTCTTTGAAGCTGAGGTATGTTTCTTGTATGCAGCAGCGGGATGGATTCTGTCTTTGAATCCATTCTGTTAGCCTGTGTCCTTTTATGGGCAAGTTAAGACCATTAATATTGAGGGATATTAATGACCATTGATTGCTCATTCTTGTTTGTTTTGGAATGATTGTTGTTGGTGGAATTGTATGTGGATTCCCACCCCTTTCCTCTGGTTTTCTCATGGAATATCTTGTTTTCTCCATCTATATTGATTGAAAGCTTTGCTGGGTATAGTAGTCTGGGCTGGCATCCGTGGTCCTTAGTGTTGATAGAAGACCTATCCCAGACTCAGAGTTTTCATGGAGAAGTCACATGTAATTCTGATAGGTTTGCCTTTATATGTTATTTGACTTTTTTCATTAGCTGCTGTATTTTTTCTTTATTCTGTATGCTTGGGGTCTTGATTATTATGTGGCGAGGGGACTTTTTTTTTGTGGTCCATTGTATTTGGTGTTCTGCTAGCTTCTTGTACCTTCGTTGGCATGTCTTTATGTTGTGAAAGTTTTCTTCTATGATTTTGGTGAATATGTTTTCTTCCCCTTTGAGATGGATTTCTTCACTTTCTATACCTATTAGTCTTAGGTTTTGTCTTTTCACGGTGTCCCATATTTCATGGATATATTGTGTTAGGGATTTGTTGGACTTAAAATTTTCTTTGGTCAATGAATCTAATTCTTCTAGTGTGTCTTTAATGTCTGAGTTTCTCCCTTCCATCTCTTGTATTCTGTTGGTTATGATTTGTAGTAACTGTTTGAGATCCCTGGAGGGGACCCCCGCAGGGATGAGGTGATGAGGGTTGCTACTAATTTTGTGGGTCTTCTCGAGCAGATCCGATCTTTTTTTTTTTTTTTTGGTTTTTACGAGACAGGGTTTCTCTGTATTGTTTTGGAGGCTATCGGTCCAGCCCAGCCTCGAACTCACAGAGATCCGCCTGCCTCTGCCTCTCGAGTGCTGGGATTAAAGGCGTGGGCCACCACCGCCCGGCCAGATCCGATCTTAAAAAGCAAACTTCAAGAGGTTAAGGGAAACAGGCTCAAGACAACTTTTGCTGATCAAGAGCGTTTATTTTTGGGGTGAGATAGTTTTCATAGGAAGAGAATCTCAGGGGGCAGTACAAGCATGCCAATCAAGTCTCAACTCAAATATACACCAAATAAGGTAAAGACGAAGCTGTAATTTTCCATCAGTTGCATTCCACAAATGCTTGTCAGCGTAAGCCAGGTGCAGGAATTAAGGAGGGGTAAAAAGTATTCAAAGGAATACATTAACCTTGTGTTAACAAAGACAATTGCTCTATAAGGGTTACTTCCGCCTATCATTATGGTAAAAGCATCCAAAGGAACACATTAACCCTTTGCCAACAAAGTCAATTGTTCTATAAGGGTTACTTCCCCCTGGCTAGGCGGGTGGGCTGCCCTGTGTAAATTTAACTTTTGTGGTTAGCTATTTCCTTTGTCTCAAGGGCATGTGTGCCTGCAGTCACGTAGGCAAAAGGCCCAGAAATGGTTGACAGACTCCATTTTGTTCAAGGTTCTTAGCAGTCCCCAACAACTGTTTCCCCAGTTTTTCTATTTCCAGCATTCCTTCAGACTGTGTGTCTTTTTTTTTTTTTAATTGTCTCTATTTCAGCTTTCAACCTTTGTACTGTTTGAATTGTTTCTTGTAATTTTTTTTGTTTTTGTTTTTTTGTTTTTCGAGACAGGGTTTCTCTGTGGCTTTGGAGGCTGGTTTCTTGTAATTTTTGCTTTGTGTTTTCCTCCCTTTCTTAAATTTGTTGGATTTTTTGGTTTGTTTTGTCTTCCATTTCTTTAAAGGATTTTCTCATATCCTCTTTGAGGGCCTCTATCATTTTCATGAAGGTGTTTTTAAGGTCATTCCTTTCTGCTTCATCTGCATTGGGGTGTTCAGGTCTTGCTGTTGTAGAATCTCTAGACTCTGGCAGTGTCTTATTTGTTTTTCTGTTGCTGAGTGTGTTCTTTTTTTTGTTTTGTTTTGTTTTTTCGAGACAGGGTGTCTCTGTGTCTTTGGAGGCTGTCCTGGAGCTCCTTTGGTAGTCCAGGCTGGCCTCGAACTCACAGAAATCCCCCCTGCCTCTGCCTCCCGAGTGCTGGGATTAAAGGCATGCGCCACCAACGCCCGGCGAGTGTGTTCTTATATTGTCTCTTTCCCATCACTTCTTCCAGTGGGTGCAGAAAGGGCCTCTTCCTCTCCTGGTGGGTAGGCGACTAGGGTTCCCTTTCGGGGGGTGCAAGCAAATCCAATTCTCTCTGTCCTCTGCCCTCCGCCCTGAGTGTGGGCGCGAGTAGACTGACTCTCTCTGCAGGCTCCTGGTTGCTTGGTTGTCCTGGGGTGAGTAGACCTGGTTGCAGTCCCCAGGCCAGGAGATCTGAGAGAAGGCGCCTGGCAGGAATTTGGGTCTAAGATGGGGGCCCGGAGCTCACCTCTGCCCTCTGCCCTCTGCTCTGAGTGGGAGTGGGAGTCACTTTTTGGGTTTTTGAGACAGAGTTTCTCTTTGTAGCCATGGCTGTCCTGCTACTCACTCTATAGACCAGGCTGGCCTCAAACTCGCAGAGATCTGCCTTCTTTTGTCTACCAAGTGCTGGGATTAAAAGCTTGTGCCATCATAGCTCAGCTCTCCCACTTCTTTTTAAAAGCATATTCTAAGTGATTTTGCAGCTAATGACTATTCATCATGTGTTAGGAGAGAAAGGGTCATATGTGTTTTAGAGGTCTCTTACATTTGAAGTGACTTGCTGGTTCATTCCCCTTGTGTTTAAACCTCAGAGAGCTGGCCCTTTCGATGTAGACTTAAGAAACCAGGCATGGTGGCCTCTACACACAATCCCAGTCAGTACTCAGGAGGCTGAGTCAGGAGAATCTGGAGTTGAAGGCCAGCCTGGGTTTACCTGTCAGTACCTTGTCTCAAACAAATGAGGAAAGAAAAAACTATACATGAGTATGCTTTTATTTACTTCTCTAATTAGAGAAATAATAAGGAAAAGTGAAAGTTGGAATTAGATGGGCCAACCTGTTCATTTGTTTCCTTTTTCTGTAGAGATTAGAAGAAGAGGATGGTGGTTGGGAGAAAGCAAGTTTATTTGTGTTGTTTTTGTGTGTGAGCATATGTCTATAAATGCCATTTTTACTTTCCACTAAAGAAACGTGTCCATGTTTGTTAATATATTCCTTACACTAAAGGCACACTTCTTTTAAATTATCTGTAAAAACACATTTTAAGAGGTTGTAACTTTCTAAAACTTTCTTGAGGAGTTGACAGTCTCATCTGCAGACCCATAGCAACAGAAAACACTTAATATTTTAGTTAGCAGAAAATGATTGCCAAAGTTTAGATTGTTGGTTTAAGAGAAAATACTCTTCCTTTGAAAGTGTTTTACTTTACTTTGTAGCTGTACAGCATACTGTTGGCTATGTGCTAGCAAGTAGTGGGGAGTCAATTTAGAGCATTTACAAGTCTTACCCTCCTAGCAACATCCTTTGATTAAGAAGCTCACTTACTTGGGCCTTGGAACTTACTTGGGCCTTGGAATTTAGAGAATCTTGCTCTGACCCCATACAGTCTAGACACTACAGGACCAACAACATAGTCACATAGTATGTATTCCCATGTATGTATTCTCACATGTTTTTGGTCTGGACACCATAGATCTGAGTGGGTAAGCTTCTAATAGTGAGGCTCATACCATCTATGATGAGATCTGGTGCCCTCTTTTGGTATGCATGAATACCTGCACTATATCAGTACCTTGGTTGTTGGCACAGTTTCCACTTACTGATTGGTAGTGTGTTCCAGGTATTATATGAAGTAGTTTACCACATTTACTCTCCACAATAATTTTATGAGTTGGGGATTTATTTTTATATTAGAGATGTAAAAACAGTATCAAGAATGTTAAGTGATTTCTTTAAGGTAGTGAACAATTTTAGAAATGAAGTTTACTTGCTAGTAGTCTGCTTTGGAATTAGAAGCAAATAATGTTTTGTTGTTTGTAGGAGTTCAACCTTATTGACAGAAGAGAACTTGCACCACTCCAAGAACTGATTGAGAAACTCACCTCAAAGGACAGATAAAAGGATGAAAAGCTGCAAATTCTTCCTCCACTGGAGCTGTGTGGGTGTATTTGGGCTTTTGTTATATTTTGTTTGTATCTGGATTGTTTGTCTTAGGTTTTGGGGGCTTGCTTGGGTTCCCTTTTCTCTTCTTAATATATAAAATCATATTTTGTTGCTAGAAGAAGCCAAGAAACATTCTCTACATTTGAAAAGGGCAAATTTTGTCTTAGTGGTATACAGTATTTTCTTTTTATTAACCTGGTTTTGGTTACTTGAGGACTTTTTATGATCCTGTATGCTGGGAACAACTGGCTGAGTGAAATGCAGATGGATTGGATTCTGTGCTGTGTAAATTGTGGCCCACTTGGAAGTTCCTAAAAAAGACTTATGTGTTCTTAAGTGCCTTGATGGCTCACTTCTGAGGTGCAAAGCACAGATATAGGACGGAGCAGAGCTTGAAACAATATTAGGATTTCTATCTAGGGCACTTACTTGTGCATGTTGTAAAGTAATCTGTTATGAAAGCCATAGTTTACTCAAGTTGATGATGTCCAGCTTTTACTACATTGAAAAAACATAATTTGTAAAGTTGTGCATGTAGAACATAAATATAAAACAACAAAAATATTTCTTAATTATTTTTGACATAATTTGTAAAGGTGTGCATGTAGAACTAAGTGTAAAACAACAAAATTCTTAATTATTTTTGATATTGACTAATATGTTCTGTTCAATGGACATTTAAAGTTCTACAAGCAGGTCTTTTTCCATCTTTTAATATCTGTGATATTGTAATTTGAGGATGTTGAAATGTAATAGCTATTGCATTTCAACTTCTTTTTACATGTTAAGTGTAAAACTTCAGGTTATATATAGACTTGCCATCTTCAGAAAGATTGCTGAACTGTGAGGTCTCCTAGCGATTGCCAAATGAGCCATAAGTGCAGAATCCCCTTATACTTCAAAGAGGGAAGAAAAATGAGAATGGTCGGTGGCAGGCATTAGTTGTTTGGGAAATCAAAAAAGAAAGGATTAAGTGTGGGGAGTCAAATTCTAGAAAGTGGGGTAGAATAGTGTTTATTACTTATAAACAGAGTCTTGAAGACTTCCTTTTAGAAATCAGCTTCCATGAGAAGTTAAAAATAAATACTTAGTTTTAGGTACAGACATTAAACATGAAATTTAATGACTATATGGGAAAATCAATCACTTTTTAGCATTTCCATTCAGTGAATGGAGCTGGTATTTGCCTGTCATTTTAAATGATAACACTACCTTGATTATTGGTGCAGTATGAAGCATCCTGACTTCTTATTTTTCCACTGTGAAATCTCTTTTCTTTGTGGTGATATCAAGTAATGAAAATGCTAGCTTAGTAGTTAATAACTTCTAAATTTTAGTTGACATGACATTCTGTTGAATTGTCATCATCAATAACAAGTTCAGGAATTTGGTTTTTATATTAAATGTTGAGCACCCCCTTCAGTTTTGTTCTTGAGAAATACTCTGCAGACTCTGAGTTTTAATTTTGTCAATTTGGATAAATCTGTTTCCCTCAAAATTTTCTCTCTCTCTCCTTTTCTCTCTGTAGTTAGAGACACATACCTTTCCTCTAGTAAAGTAGAAATGCTTGCTCTGAATTTGTATGCAAATACATAGTGGAGGAGTCGAAAATTAAGTCAATTTGGTTTTGTCATTAACAAGAATACAGTAATAGAATTGAATGCCCTTGCAACTATTATCACTAGGAACTGCCTTTTTCTCCATTTCATTTCTCTAATGGTGATTGCTCACCAAGTACCAATAATAAGGAACAAAAGAGCTTGGAAGAGGCAGATAATACTGAACATTTATTAGTAGTGCTTATTTATGAACTGACAGCTAGCTGATTTTCTTAAAATAATTTTTTAGTATCTAGATATCAGGCATTATGAGATGCTTCAGAATTCTGATGTGAGTCCTCTCTGTTCAGGAAATGAAGCCCATAATTACTGAAACAGTCTTCCATAGTATATTTACTTCATATCACCCTAGTAACAAGGGGCTTCCATAGCAGCACCATGTAGAGAGAAGAGTGAGAGGTTGTTTCTGGTCCTTTAAACCTTACGTACAGTAACAATGGAAAACTAGTCCTAGAAATGAGTGCTTGGTAGTAGGATTTGCCTTCCCACCACATTAGGTAGGAGTTATTTTCACTGTGCCAGAATCTCAGGTGCCATGGTTCCAAGAGGTCCCTCAGTTTGTGGGAAATAATTCATGGTGTGTGTGTGTGTGTGTGTGTGTGTGTGTGTGTGTGTGTGTGTGTGTGTGTGTAGAAAGAGTAGAAATACTTTGTGCATGCGTGTGTGTGTGTGTGTGGAGAAAGAGTAGAAATACTTCGCGCATGCGTGTGTGTGTTTGTGCGTGCGTGTGTGTGCATGCACGTGAGTGCGTGCGTGTGTGTTGAGAAAGAGTAGTTCTCTTGAAGGCCTGGCAAGTGTACATGGTGGTAAATGGCTATAAGTAAGGAAACACTAGAAGTCAAGAGAAAGTCAGTTTAATAAAAACTTGCTTTGAGAGCACAATGCCCTTTTATAAAATAAGAATCAAAGTTTATTTTGCAGGAGAGCTTGCTTATAAATGTTTCTTAGATTCTTTTCAGATCTGTTAATTTATAAATAATTATCTCCCTTTTTTTTCGTCTCTTTTTTTGAGACTGGGTCTCTCTGTGTAGCCATGGCTAGCCTGGTTGAGACCAGGTTGGTTTCAAATTCTCAGATCCCTTGCCTGTGCACCCTATATGCTGGGATTAAAATTATGCACCACCACACCTGGTTACTCCATTTTTTATACAGTTGTAACAGTTCAAGTTAGTTTTCCTCATTTTTTCATAGGCTCATCCCATACAATTGGGTGTAATAAAGTATCATTAGGTTGTTACAGTGCTTTGATTACATGTGGATAGGATGAAGCAAGTTTTAGGAATGATTTAGATATCAGAGTCATGGGGATGAAGAGAAACTGACTGAGTGAAATGTTTGTGGTTAACAGTAGGTGAGCTGCTGGCCTTATTCACTCGCTGACTTTTTTCTTCTCTTCCCACAAAAGCCATGCCTGAGACTGCCCCCAGACGTGAGCATGAATGTGTTGGTGGGTGGCTTTGGAGCTCTGTGTATCTGAAAATGAGTTTTAGGTTGTTGCCGATTTCAACTCTCTTAGTCATTGTAAATTCTAAATGGTCAACATAAAATGTATTAGGTAGCAGAGTATATATATATATATATATATATATAGTATGTTTCTGGATTATCAGGATGGATGAAGCACTACAGGCTCTTCCCAGAAAAAATAGGAATATGGTATTTATATTTTGTATATGTACTCACTAGGTTCCCATTTTATGTAATGAGCATTTTCCTTGCTATGGGAAAAGTAGCAAAACAACAGATTTCTTTTATAGCTTTGTCTACATCCTCTCTGAGAGAGGTTTTGATAACCACTGAAATAGTAGATTATGTGAGATGCAAATACTAAGTTGTGGAACTTTCTTTTAAAATGAGTATGTTGTACATTAATGTCCAAATGAGAGTTGACTTTCAAAGCAGTTCTCTTTGGACCACTGTTTATTTCAATTCTGTTGCAAAGTATGTTTCTAGAACTTTGTAATGTGTCATAGGTGCTTTGAGAATTGGCTTATGACCATGTAAGAAAAAGAACCTTTATTTTTTCAGTTGCACAAAAACAATATTCGAAGCTTACTAGAACCCACATTAATTACTAAATCAAGTTTACTAACTTGGCTTTTCTCTGAGAACCAAGCCAGTGTGGTAATCAAGAGTGTCTTTTAGGCTCTAAATCTTTGGAGAAGACTGCTATAGACATTGACTGCATCCCAGAATAGAATGCTTTCCTGGTGTCACAGCTGGAAGTAGGAATCACCATGTACATGTGAAAACATTTTTAAAATTCAATTTAACTACTTTGTATTTAAACAGAATTGTAAACCTAAGGTCTTTCTCTAGAACTTGCTCTGTTTCTTCCCCCTCCCTTTTCCTTAAAACTTTTGAATTGAGTAGGACAGTTTTGATTGAGAGAATAGTGTGAAAAAGTGAGCGCAGTATTTAAAACAGCAGTTCAAAGAAACAAACCCTTTACCTCTGTTGTATTACCTCTGTTGTATTCTGTTTTATTTTAAACAGGTTTTTCTTTCAATTGACTTTAATTAAAGACTAGATGTTGATATACAGGAAAATTATGATAAATTTTATTATGCAAAGTTTTAACCTATCATGAATAGCATTGGAAATAATGTATTCAGCACATATTATTCATAACATTAAATTCTGATTGTTTTTTGAAAATATACTGGATCGAAAGTTCATTTGTAATTTGGAATGTGATTGTGTACTAGGAAAACATCTTATTTTGAAACTCAGCTCAGTCTTGCTCCTAGTGGACTTTAAGCTTTGGGTTTTTGCCATAACAGAGATTTACCATAGGAGCCTCTGTTACCACATGATTATATGTGAGTGATAAATAGAGGTCTGTTTTGAGATTTAGTAGGAAAGTTTAACTAACAACAGACATGCAACAGGATTCTGAATGCAAATGGTTTGAATTTTTAAGGCTTTCTTCAGAAGTTCATCTATGAGACTACCATCTTCTCTGTGTACCCCTCATAGTTGGACTTATTTGTATTCGGACAAGAGAGAAGAAAATACAAACTAAAATAGTGGGCCCTTGATTTTATAAGTGCTTGGCGCAAGTTCCTCACGCAGCTTCCCTCCTTCCTCACCTTTACAGATGTGTCTTCCCACTCCGCATCTGTCATGTGCACCCGCTCACATGCACCCGAGGCTCACTTTACAGTTTGTCATTGTTAGCGTTCTGAAGTATTGCTGACATACAAGTTTTCTTTTGTTTGTTTGGCAGGTTTTTTTTTAAATGTCACCAAAGTTGCAGTTATTGGTGATGTAAAGTGACGATTTTCTAATTTCTTTCATAATTATTCTTTTTTTTTTTTTTTGGTATTTACGACACAGGGTTTCTCTGTATTGTTTTGGAGGCTGTCGGTCCAGCCTGGCCTTGAACTCACAGAGATCCGCCTGCCTCTGCCTCTGAGTGCTGGGATTAAAGGCATGCGCCACCACTGCCCGGCTCATAATTATTCTTATAGGTGGATATTTCTTATAGTTTTGCACAAATTTGCATTTTTGTTTCTGAAATAGTTGTATAGGTTGTAAAATATATTAGTGCATTGTCATTTCAGAACACCTTTTTCCTTAAATTGTTTTGCAGAAATGACTATTTTTAGGGAAAATAGTTTTACAGCTACTAAATTTTATGTTATTTTTGTATATGCATAGCCAGGGTGGTGAAATCACTAATATTTTAGGGAGAACCTTTGTTCTATTTAATTTTTTTCTACACATTTAAGGTATTATTTAAAGTTGTTGGTAGAAATAGTGTCAATGAAACAAAAAATATGAAGAACACTTAAAATCAGAGTAGCAATCATTTCTGAAGACAAAAATCAGAAATACTGCCAGTACCCAGTGATGGAGGCAGAAGGCAGCATTGGTATTATGCACTTGCTTAAGATATGCATGGAGACGAGAGTCTGTTCTCGAGGGGACAGGTTCTCTAGTAAGGTAGTTAGATGGGAAAAAATGATCTAAAATAAGGACTGCAACGTGGGCGCCATATTGTAAATTGTGTCAAGATTATGCAAATTGTAGTTATTGATTAAAGTTTAATTGCTTCATTATTGTTATTTTAAAGGAAATACTGAATGTTCGAAAATCTGTAATATGTTTTATTTGAGAGATGTAAATAATGTACACAGTCTTATATGTAGTGGAATGGGAGGTATTTAAATCCTAGGTTTTTTTTTTTTAAGGAAGAAAATGTTTATAAGAAAAAAACCCTAATAAATAGTTATGTTTGGCCATGAATTCTGACTTTATTTTTACTGTAGTTATTTCTACCCTGGACACATTTCAAAGCAAGGTGAAGGCATATAAAACATATTGAATATTTCAAAATTTGTTAGGCAGAGCTTCCTCACAACACTGGAAGTTACCTTACATTCTAGAAAACTAAAGTCCAGAAATTGTACATGTTACTGGGCCTAGGGCTTAAAGGCTCTTATATATGCCTGAATTTAAAACTAATGTTTTATTTAGTATTTACTATTCCTGTGAAAACAAAGCAAAACTGTGGTAGAATATTATTTTCAGGTGTGAGACTTTTATTTCTGCTGCATTTGTTTAACTCTGTAATGCTGTGTTACAGTGCCTGTCTAAAACACCTGGTGGTCCTAATGAAGAGCTGAGCGGCCACTAGCTAGCAGGAGCAAGGAGAGGCGGGGCTGGCAGGCAGACTGTATAAATAAATAGAAGGAGGAAGAGGAGGGTTGCAGCAGCCAGCCACCCAGTCAGCCAGAGTAAGAACGTAAGTAAGATACACAGAAGTAAGAAAGATAAAAGCCCAGAGGGAAAAGGTAGATGGGTTAATTCAAGTTAAGAAAAGCTGGCTAGCAACAAGCCTAGCTAAGGTTGGGCATGCATAACTAAGAATAAGCCTCCGTGTGTGATTTACTTGGGAGCTGCATGGTGGACCCCCCAAAAGCAAAAAGAGTAAAAGACAACCTCTGACACAAAACGGCATAATAATGAAATATTGTGGACCTTTCTACTGAATTAAGAAATGATCTATTTTGCTGGGTGGTGGTGGTGGCACAGGCCTTTAATCCCAGCAGCACTCAGGAAGCAGAGACAGGTGGATCTCTGAGTTTGAGGCCAGACTTGTCTACAGAGAGAATTCAAGATAGCTTCCAAAGCTACAGAGAAACCCTGTCTCAAAATATAACTAAAAAGAAAAAAAAGTATTTTATCTTCATTATAAATCATCCCACATATATATGTGGTGGAAAGCTGCTAAGGAACAATACACACACACAATTTTATGTTTGTATATGTATGCCTGAGTGTACATATATGCACCAATATGCATGCTGGAACCTGTGGAGGTCAGGAGAGGTATTGGATTCTCTGGAACTGGAGTTATAGATGGTTTTGAACTGCCATATGAAAGCTGGGAATCGAACCTGGGTCCTTTACAAGGGCAACCAGTACAATTAACCCATGAGCTATCACTCCATTGTCTTAATTGAAAATTTTTTTCCATAAAATATATTCTGTTTATGGCTTTCCTTCTCTCAACTCCTCCAACATCCTCTGTCTCCCCACCCATCCAAATCTACTTTTTTTTTTCTCAGAATACAAACAGGCATCTAAAAATAGTAATAAAATATGATAAAAACAAGCCAGCATAGGATGAAGCAAGCAAACTACAAGGAGAAAGCCAAAGGTACAAGAAGCACATACAGACTCACACACACACAGGAATATAAAAACATAACACTGGAAACCGTAAGATATATGCAAAAGACCTGTAAGGAGAAAAAACAAAATAAATGAAACTAATGCCCAGACAAAGCATTAAGAGCCAAGGAATCTCCAAAAATGCCATTGAGTTTGTTTTGTTTTGTTTTGGACATTTATTGCTGGGCATGGGGTCTGTCCTTAGTAGAGTAGTTTGTATCCCCAGTGATGCTCCATTCGGGAAAATAATTTTTCTTTTGCAAACGATTATCAATCAGAGATAACTGCTGGTCTAGGGATGGTAGGAGCAGGGCATGTGTTAGCTTCTTTGAGCTCTAGGACACCAACTGGCTTAGACCCATGCAGGGAATGTGCATGCTGTCACAGTATCTGAGTTCATATGTGTGTTGGTCCTGGGCCTCGTTTCCTTGGTGTCCTCCATCATCTCTGATTCCTACACTTTCTGCCTCCTCTTCCATAAGACTCCCTAAGCCCTAAGGGGAGGGGTTTGATGGAGACGTCCATTTAGGGCTTAGTATTCTAAGGTCTCTCACTCAGCACTTTGTTTCTTTGTGGGTCTCTGTGTTTGTTCCCATCTGTTATAGGGGGAAACTTCTCTGATGCAGGCTGGCTGAGGCACTGACCCAGGGGTATAGCAGAATGTCATTGTCTTATTGCTATGTTCCTTTGGCAGAACAGTATTTGGACTTCCTCTAGGTCGCTGGCCTATCTAGTGTCAGGCCACCGTAACAGTGTCATCTCATAAAAACAAGCAAAAAAGATAATTATCACGTGCTAGGCGGTGGACATGCAATGTTAAGTTACAGCCATGCTGCCGAGAAACATACCTAGTGCTATATAACTTTATAAACAGCACAATGGAGCTTGCAACTTAAAGCCAAGAGCAAGCCCCTCCCCCAGTCCGCCCAAGACTCACCTTGAAAGCCCCGCCTCCTGTCCTCGATATCCTTGCGCAAGCCCCGCCCCCTGCCCTCCGAGAAGCTCCTAGCGCAAGCCCCGCCCTCTGCCCGCCCGTCTCGCCGGTAGGAAGCACGCACTGGGCGTCACTGGCTGGAGAGGGAGAGGCGTGGAGGGTGGAAGTCCCGGCCGTCTGGGCGTGGCCGCTCCACGGGCCCGCCCAGCCGTCTGCGTCTCCGCGCGCCAAAGTCAAAGTGCGGGTCCCGCCTGCGCGAGTCTGACGCTGCAGCCCCGAGCTCCAGGTGCCGTCGCCGTTCTCCTGCAGGTCCCGCGCCCGAGCCGCCGCCAGCAGCCATGGCCACCCCACCCAAGAGGTTCTGCCCTTCTCCTTCCACCAGCTCCGAGGGGACACGCATCAAGAAGCTCTCCATCGAGGGGAACATCGGTAAGGCGACCCCTCTCCGGTGCCGGTACCTCGGCATCCCCTTCGCGTCGCCTTGCTCGCGCCGGCGCGCTGGCTCGCCTGGCCCTGCGCCAACCCGGGGCTTTGTGAGGCGCACGCTCTGGGCCACTGCAACCTCTTTGTTGGGAACTTCCAAACGCGAGGGTTCGGGGCTGCTTTTCTTGAGATGTGACTTGGGTAAGCGACACCCGTTTTAGGTGTGCTCTTCCGGTAGGTTTCCCTGACTTGCCATGTTACCTCGGAATGAGACCATTTTCCTCACCGCACTCTCCAAGTTCCCTTTGTGCTTCTTTGTAGTCAGCTCTTTCTCCCTTCTCATCCATCCCTTTACCAGCCCCGACAGGCTTCTTTTTAATTCCTGCACGTTTTGTTTTTCTACAGAGTCCTGAGCTGAACCAGTGTCAGGTTTTCTGTGCCTTGCTTGGTTTACCAGATTGCTTAAGATTCACTCATGCTGTATTTCTGTAGTACTTTTCTTTTCTTTTTGTTTTATTTGAGACTGGGTCTCTATGTGATGTTGGTTGCCTTGGAACTCACTATGTAGACCAGACTGGCCTTGAACTCTCAGAGATCTGCCTGCCTCTGCTTCCCAAGTGGTGGGATTAAAGGAGTGCACCACCACCACACCTGGCTTCTTTTAAATGTTAAGTAATGGCGGGCGTTGGTGGCTCACGCCTTTAATCCCAGCACTGGGAGGCAGAGGCAGGCGGATCTCTGTGAGTTCGAGGCCAGCCTGGTCTACAGAGCGAGTTCCAGGATAGGCTCCAAAACAATACAGAGAAACCCTGTCTCGAAAAAAAAAAACAAAAAAAAATGTTAAGTAATATCCCACTGAATAGTATACACATTTATTCCTCGGTTGTCAACATTTGGATTGGCGTTTGTAGCAATTCCTAAGACTATCTGGCATAGAGGGAAGAAGTTTTTTAATGATTTTGACAGTTTGGAGTATTTTTTACTCCGTTTCCCACATAACATGTAAACACTGGAGTATGACTCAAAGACCAGTAGAGCTTCTGCCCTCATGGGAATAAAACTACTTAGTGCATGTCATTTTTCAAGGTGAACATCAATCTCCCATTCTTTTACATTTCATACCACAAGAAACCCACTGATGTTTCCTGTTTTGATACAACTGTTATTTTTTGAGCTGCAGGTTGAGTACTGACTGTTCATGTATGCAGCAGATGTTTTTATTTGTACTACATTCAGAGCACTGACTCTTTAGGAAGGCAAGCAGATGTAGATGCATTCAAGAGAGTAGGGCTGAAACACAAGCAAGAGGACTCATTTTACTTCCACACTGAAGACACAGGCCAACAGAAGAGACCCTTATTTCAAGGTTCTCTGGGATGTCATGCTTCCTAGCAATACTCCACATACATAGCCTCTTAGTGAATAAAGATGACCATGTGTAACACAGGTGGAAGTTCTCAATAATGTCGTCTTTGAAGTGAGTTTCAGTGGACAACTCCTGGGGTTCAGAACCTAACAGATTTTTCTTCCTTCTCTCAAACCCAGGCAGGCAACTTACATACATCTAGAAGTCTCCTTTCCTCCATGCATATTTAATCTTCTCAGCACTGAAATAATTTGTGAATGGGTCACTGTTTCCCGTGAACCTGCTCTCAGAGGTGCTTTTCCACACACAGATGCAGTTGTGTTATCTGTGCCTAAAGTTCTTCACTGACCTCCCAGTTGATCTGAAAAGAGCTGGACGTTGATGGCCTGCATTTGCACTCTCTTAGGAAAAATTAGTTACAAGTATTGACATTTTCTTTGAGCATCTAGATCTTTGACCATAAAAAAAAAGAATCTGATGGTTTGGCAACTAGACTTACAATTGTGTTGGAGGAACTGTCATTTAGATTAAACATGTTTCTCAGCACTTGTTACCTTTCCTACAGTAGGGAGGCGTCATCAGTTGCCTGTTGCTTTTGTATGGTTGCTTACATTCCCCTCACTTAATTGTCAGGTCCAAACAACCTGTTGATGTAAAAATTGCGCAATCCGTGAAGACTGGTTTGTAATTCTCCTGTTCTTCCTAAAATTTGAAGACTGCTTGGTCATTTTTAGTTGCATAGTCGTGTAACCTGTTTTCCCTTGCGCAACCTGTTTTCCCTTGTTATGTGTTACTGAGCTATTTCCATAGATTAGATTTATGGAGGCTTTATTGGTTCATTTCAGTGTGTTCAGAGTGAGTGTTAGTATGGTGATGATTGCTTGGGTTAGGAATTGTTTGCTGCCATGACTGGTTGTTTGTGTGAGATGGTTTCACTGTACCGCCCTAACTGGCCTGGAGCTCACTGTGTAGACTGGGCTGGCCTCCTTTAGACTAGAGCGCTCCACCTGCTTTTGAATGCTTGGCATCCAAGTCCTGTGCCACCACCTCTCTTACTGTGACTTGTACAACTATTAATAGGTTTTCTTGCTCATTGTGGTCATTCACCTTCATAGGATATTAGTTTCTTAGCTTTTTGCCATCTCTGATCTCCCTCCAAAAGTTAAGGAAGGAACTGAGTAGTGACTATTTGGGAACGTCAACTGACTATGATTACTCAGCTTGAAGTAAATTTTAGCATTAGCAGTTTTAAAGTATGGCTGTGTGTGCTATTTGTGGTTGTTTTCTTTCTTTTTTTTTTTTTTTTTTACGAGACAGGGTTTCTCTGTATTGTTTCGGAGGCTATCGGTCCAGCCCGGCCTCGAACTCACAGAGATCCGCCTGCCTCTGCCTCCCGAGTGCTGGGATTTAAGGCGTGTGCCACCACCGCCTGGCTATTTGTGGTTGTTAATCGATGTCAGAAGAAGGCTTAATGTGATAGCCTAAGTGTTTTTAGATTCTGGTCTAGTTTGAGCTATTTCAGTGTGTTTCTTGTCTACCCTGAGTATCCTGTTCTCTTTTCCACCTAGTCGAACGAATGATGACTGTTTAAACCATTCTTCTCAATGCATTACTCTCTGTAAACTTGCCCTTTCCACACAGCATTTCAGTCACCCATGTTCTCCCCACAACCCAGTAGACACCTGGTTTATGTTTGCATTTGTTGCTTCCCTTTTTTGGATTTAATACACGTTGTTCTTCACCTGTCCTGTGACCTTATTCACCCCCATTTCCTTGACCTGTGCATGCCTTTCTAATGCCCTGGCTGATCCCTTCTTGTCCTGTGTAATGTTAGAGGTTTGAGTGTACTTCTGCCAGTCAAAGGTAAGCTCTTTGTGCCCATCCTGAATCCATTTTATAAAGAAGAGGACTCTTGGCAAAGATATTGAAGCTATATAGTTGTGGTGTGTGTGTGTTTGTGAGTGAGTGTGTGTGTGTGTGTGTGTGTGGTAAAAGGAAGAGGAAGAAAGAATATAATACTGGTCAGTGATGGATCATTTATAACCACATTTGGTGACTTATGATAGGAAGGGTGTGGTGGTCATTAGAAGTACTGCTACACCCTTTTAGTCATAAGGTCCAGACTCACTGATACTGAAATGATGACTATAGTATGTCCTGATTACACATAAGCTATTTTTGTCTTTTTCTAACCTACATATCTCAGAGACTAGTGAAATTTTGTGAAAAGTAAAGCTATCTTTTTTTTTTTCACTTTAAACGGTTTAGTAGAGGACACAGAACCATAACATCCAGGCAGGTTTCTACAGCTGTCACTCATAGGAAATGCTTTGCAAGACTTGACATAATTTCTGTTACTTATAGGCTTTATTAGGGTCAGATCAGATAATAGTCACATACATTGCCTCTTCATATTGATTTTTGTGGTTATTTCTCAATTGGTTTATTATTGGTAACTTACTTTGGTTGTATTGGGGTCCTTAGTCTTCTTTTCCCCTTTAGAAAAAAAGTTGTTCTTTTTTTGGGTGGCAGGCATGGTCTTACTCTGTAGCCCAGGCTGGCTCAGCACTCACTGTGCAGCCCTGTTTGAAATTGAACTCAGAGCAATCCTCCTGTCTAAGCCTCCCAAGTGCTACAGTTATGGGTGTATGTGTTATTACACCTGCTGTAGTCTCATTATGCAGCCCAGGCTGGTGTGGAATTCAGAATCTGTTTACTTTAGCCTGCTGAATTGGAAGTTACTTGCAGGCCACTCAGTGAGTTCTTTAAGCTGAGAAAGTAGAGTTAGTAGAAAGGAAGGTTTTGAAAATACAAAAAAAAGAAAAGACTAGGAACGACTGTCACTTTACTGATCATCACAGTCTTGTCTTCCTGTGCTACAAGGAACCAGGGTCAGGACTTAGTCAACTTCACTCACCTGGTTGGAAGGACAGGCTTCACCACTCTCCAGAAAGTTCTTTTTCTAAGTGCTTGGCTAAGGAAAGCTAGGATAAAAAGCAGATTCTTTTTTTTCCTGTCATAACATCTTTCTTAAATGTAACCAGGGTTTTAAGTCTTCTTTTCCTTGTTGTTGGTAAACTAAAAATAACACATTTGTTCAGCACAGTTGGCTAGGGACCATCTCTAAGTTTTAATTTATAAAAAAGATGAAGAAAAAGGCCTTACTGTTTCTGTGTATGCATTGTTCTCTGTGAATCATGTAAAAACTAATGACCATTGGTTATGTTTTGCTTTTTTAAACAGGTTTTCATAATTTTGTCTTTTTTTTTTTATGGCAGCTGCTGGGAAGTCAACGTTTGTGAATATCCTGAAACAAGTCTGTGAGGATTGGGAAGTGGTTCCTGAACCTGTTGCCAGGTGGTGCAATGTTCAAAATGCTCAAGATGAATTTGAGGTGTGCAAGTAAAATTTAACTCCATACAATAAAATTCCTTAAGACTGGGGATGGCTCAGAAGGTCCTGTTCTACAGGTTCCCAGTACTCATGTGGTAGCTCACAATTGTCTGTAGTTCCAGCTCCAGGGGTTCTGATGCCCTCTTCTGGTCTCCATGGGCACCAAGAACATAACTTGATGCACAAACATACATTCAGGGAAAACATCCATTCACATTTAAAAAAATTTTTAAAACTCTTTAGGTTAGAGAAGCAGTGTATTTTGTCTCTTGGTCACCCCCCACCACACGCATGCACACACACCTTTCCTTGTAAGATTTATGCACTATTATATCAAAGTTTAAAAGGTTTTAAAAGTTTAAAGACTTACAGCAGCCAGGCGGTGGTGGTGACCGTTTTTAATCCCAGCTCTTGGGAGACAGGCAGGTGGATCTCTGTGAGTTTGAGGCCAGCCTGGTTCTACAAAGCAAGTTCCAGAACAACCAGAGCTGTTACACAGAGAAACTCTGTCTAATCTTTTCAGCCTTTTGTCATGTGTAAGTCCATTTATATTCTTATTTCTTTGAACTATACCATCATTCTTCACAATCTTTTATTCTGGACATTTTTCATCTTACTATCCCTTTTCAATACAGCATCACAAATGAGAGAATAGGGGAAATTTCATTTTTTCATAGTGGAAGTTATGGCTGTCTGTGGTAATGATTGCTAAGAGTTTTCATTTCTGGAGAAATGAAATTGAAAGTAGAAAAATTGGAAAGGACTGCCAGAAAATTGTTCAGTCTAAAAAAAGTTGAAAAAAAAAAAAGGTAGAGCCGTTGATGTGAGGATTTCTGGGAATTATTGGGCATTTAAAATGTAAGTCATGCCGGGCGTTGGTGGCGCACACCTTTAATCCCAGCACTCAGGAGGCAGAGGCAGGCGGATCTCTGTGAGTTCGAGACCAGCCTGGACTACCAAGCGAGTTCCAGGACAGCCTCCAAAGCCACAGAGAAACCCTGTCTCGAAAAACCAAAAAAAAAAAAAAAATAAAATAAAATAAAATGTAGGTCATATGTATATATAAGGACAATCAGTAACAGGAACCTATAGCTTTTGTAGATTGTCTTAGGAAGGGTGACTATTGCTGTCGTGAAACACCATGACCAAGGCAGCTTTGGGAGGAAAATGTTTATTTGGCTTACACTTCCACATCACAGTTCATCATCTAAGGAAGTCAGGGCAGGAACTCAAGCAGGGCAGGAACTTGAAAGAGGGAGCTGATGCAGAGGCCATGGAGGAGAGCTGCTTACTGGCTTGCTCCCCAAGGCTTGCTTAGCCTGCTTTCTTATAGAAGCTAGAACCATCAGTCCAGGGATGGCCCCATCCACAATGAACTGGACTCTTCCCTCATCAATTACTAATTAAGAAGATACTCTACAGGCTTGCTTACAGCCAGATCTAATGGAGGCATTTTCTAAATTAAGATTCCCTCCTCTCAGATGACTATAATTTATGCTAAATTGACATAAAACTAGCCCACATGGGGATATTTGTGAATTTTTTCCTTCCTTTTTTTTTCTTTTTTTTTTAGGTTCTTTTAGATATAAGGTTTTGATAACTAAAAAATATTTCTTACACTTTTGTTTGCAAAGAATAGTTAATTTTAGGCTGGGGTCACAACTAAATATATCCCAATCCTTTGAATATCAAGTACAAAACTTTAAAGGGACTTCCCATATGGAATTCTTAATTTTTTATGTATGAGGCTGTGGTCTTCTGCACTTTAAGTAGGGCTCAGAAAATGTGGGAAACAGTATTTTGTGGATAATGTGAAACATGAAACATTGAGTAGGTAGATGGCTTCTCTTTTCCCTCAGTAACTATGTGTCTATCCTCATGCTTAGCTTATTTGATTGTAGCTGTTTATGTAGTGTTTTTCTCTAACCTGCCATCTAGTGGCTGAAATGTTACTGTGCTACTAATGGGCTACTAGAAGTCTTGTCAAAATAAGACATGGTAAAGTACAAAGATTACATGGTTTCCTTTTCATTCCTAATCCTAGCAAACAATTCTTTTGAAAACCAGCAGATGATTATCATTAATCTCTGTTTTACAGACTCATTCCCAGCAGTGGTTTACTGTCTTCGGTGATTTACATGGCATGGTCCCAAAGCTTTGATTTAATTGCTTCCTTTTTGTTTGTTGTTTGTTTTCCAGACAGGGTTTCTCTGTGTAGCTCTGACTGTCCTGGAACTCACTCTGCAGACCAGGTTGGCCTTGTACTCACAGAGAACCAACCACCTACCTCTGCCTCCTGAGTGCTGGGATTAAAGGCGTGTGCCACCACTGCCTGGCTGATTTTTTTTTTCTTCTCATTTTACTTACAGATTTCCAGAATAGATAATAGATGCTTTAACTATCTCCAAAAATGACAAGTTTTTTGTCTTTTTGTAAAGTACTATGAACTCACAGATTATTACCGTCCATGTTTTTGGATGTTGAGACTTCTTTAACAAATAGAAGCTCCCTTGTGTTGGCTTTTTGCCTTGTGCAGTACCAGGAGATCTCAGATGGTTTCTTTGTTTATTGGAACAAGGTGTATGAAGCCTGGCTTCCCGACTTAGCATCTGATACAGAACACCTCAGCGGGAAAAGTGTTTAGAAGTCATAGCCTTGATGGCATTTCTGATTGTTCTACAGGATTGTTATTGTTCATAAACTTTTGGCAGACTGAGCTGGGAAGCTGTATTTTATAGAAATTAATTCCAGGTGCCCTTTGCAAAATTCCTATTTAAGATGAAAGAATTTTAGACTATTTTTTTCTGTTTATATTTTTTTCTCAATGCTGAAAAAGTTGGTCCTCACAACGTGGCTATTGAATTGCAAGTTTGGGACACCTAAAGGGCCCAGGCAGTAAGTGATTACACCCATATTTAGCTCTATTTACAGTGGTCCACCTTATAATAGGTTTTTTTTTTTAACTTTACGATGTTGTGAAGCATGTCCATACAGTATTTTTTATTTTTATACCTGGGATTTTCCTAGACTGGAGGAATGTGATATGACAGTCTCTTGTGCTAGACGCCAGCAGTGAAGTCAGAGTGGCTTGAGGCAATGACAAGTTTGCTGTAGTGTTATATCCTTTTAAGCTTTGGTGTATTTTCACCCTTTGATAATTTTAGTTTAGGATTTATTATAAGGACAAAACCCCCATTGTAAGTGGAAGATCTGCTAGAAAATCAGAAAATCGGGGAAGTTGGGAGCTGATAAAACTGAGCGTATATGTGCCTTACCTGAGAGACACATGTGTGACTTAGCTGTAGCTGATTTTGTAGAGGTTCGTTTATTTTATTTTATTTATGTGTATGTATGTGTATCATGTATGTACTTGATGCCTGCAGAGGTCAGAAGAGGGCATCAGATTCCCTGAAAGTGGAGTTACAGTGAGCTGTCCTGTGGGTGCAGGCAACTGAACCCGAGTCTTCTGCAGGAGGAGTCAGTGCTCTTAACCAATGAGCCGTTGCTCCAGCCCCCATGGAGATGATTTTTTAAATTTGTTCCTCCACCTCTGTATGGGTTCTGAGGACCAAGCTGGTGTCATCAGGCTGGGGTGGTCAGCGCTTCCTCTGATCTTGCCAGAGATCATTATGCTGTTTATTCTGAGAAGGCAGTATGAGTACAACACTCTTGTTTATCTTTTCCTTTTTAAAAAAGAATGTGTAAATCAAATATTTTTATTTAACTTTTAAGTGTTGATTTTTTTTTTTTCTGTAGGTTGTTAGTAATTGTGAGAAAGAGCTAAGGGTTATTTTAGATCTCAAGTTTTATGAGAGACATACTTTAGAAAAGAGTAAGGAGAAGGAATCTGATTATCTTGCTAATAATGTGTTTATGAGTTTTCTTTTTTAAAAAGATTTATTTATTCTGTATGTGTTTTGCTTGTATATATGTCTGCATCACATGGGTGCAGTGCCCATGAGGCCAGGAGATGGTGTCAGGTCTTCTGGGATTGGAATTACAGTTTTTAGCCACTCCATGGATGCTGGATGCTGGGAGCCAAACTGTGTCCTCTGTAAGAGGATCAGGTGCTCTTAACCACAGAGCCACAGAGCCTTTTCTCCAGGACCCCTCCCCCCAACTTCTCCTTTTGAACTTCTTAAAAATAGCCCTGCATAGTGGCACACACCTTTAATTTCAGCACTTAGGAGGGAGAGGCAGGTGGAGGTCTCTGAGTTCCAGGACAGCTTGGTCTCTATCCTGACTTCCAGGAGAGCCAAAGCGACATAGTGAGACCTTGTCTCAAAAAAACACAAAGCAAAGAAGTTAAAATAACTCTATAGACAATCATATTTTTCTTTGTTGTTTCTTTTGCCAATTTAAAATAGGAATTGACAACGTCTCAGAAAAGTGGTGGGAATGTTCTTCAAATGATGTACCAGAAACCCGAGCGATGGTCTTTTACCTTCCAGTCATACGCCTGCCTCAGTCGTATCCGAGCTCAGCTTGCCTCTCTCAACGGCAAGCTCAAAGATGCAGAGAAACCCGTATTATTTTTTGAACGATCTGTGTACAGTGACAGGTATGCAAATGGCTTATATTTGGCTCTTTGGAGCTTATAACTAGACAATTTCTTTTCTCATTTCCTCGTAGTCAAATTAGAGGCTGATCTGGAGATTTTAGATAGAAAATGACATTGAAAAATACCTTTAGCATTGAGGGCTCTAATGTCTTTAGGACAGAGCCCCTTTTTCCTCCCAACCCTTTAGAGTCTTCATCTGTTCTGATTATATCTGGATTTATATCCTTAGATTCTCAACTAGAAAAAGGAGATAAAAATGAAAAATTTCTACAGGTGCTTTAGCGCTACTCTGCCTTTTCACCTTAGTTATCTTAGTTTTTGGTCTCAGAATTCCTTTTCTTTCATTGTTAAGTAGTCTAAAGAATTTTGTCATTTGATATATATGTTATTAGAAATTAAGGTTGAGTGAGTGTCAGTATACAAATATAAAATGATCAGTCAGAAACATACTCTGTATTAATGTAGAAACTTCTGATAAAAGGTTTTAAAACAAGTATAGTGATAAGGGTAGCATAGTTTTACATTTTTGTAATTCTTTAGTGTCTGAATTAATAAAACTTGTTTTTTATCCATGTTTGACTATATATGTGAATGTGTGTTTTGTTTGAAGTATAGTAGTGTGTGAGGTAACTGGAAGGAACTTAGGGACCTCCAGGGATCCTTAGCCAACATTTTGAAATCTTCTGACAAAGAACCTGTTTCCTATACTTGGAAGGACATTTTCTGTTTTTTCCAAGGCCCTTGTTGCCATAGGATTTAGGAGTGTGTCTTATACCCGTTTCTTTTATGAACTATGTGTCTGTGTTTGAAAGGGCATATATGCTGATGGAGATTCTCTTTCAGGTATATTTTTGCATCTAATTTGTATGAATCTGACTGCATGAATGAGACAGAGTGGACAATATATCAGGACTGGCATGACTGGATGAATAGCCAGTTTGGCCAAAGCCTTGAACTGGATGGAATAATTTATCTTCGAGCTACTCCAGAGGTGAGACTGATAAACAATTGCTTGTGCCATTGAGATTTTAAAGTAACATCAGATTACAAGAGGGATGTAGTAGCGACAATTTAAAACCATCTTCCAAGCTGGAGAGATGTCTTAGTGGTTAAGAGAACTGACTGTTCTTCCTGAGGGCCATGGCCATGTTCAATTCCCAGCATCCATATGGTGGCTCCTAATTATCTGTAACTCCAGTACCAGAGACTCTGATGCCAACACTCACATATGTAAAATTAAAAATAAATAAAATCAACTCCTAGCTCATCTCCTACAAACTCAGAGCAGTGCAGACTTTCTCAGCTAACTAGAAATCAAGATGTTGCAAGTTTGGTCTTCTCTGTTCTTCACCAGCCCTATCTTTTTTTGTTGTAATTTTTAACTTGCTCAGCTTCTCATCCCCTCTGAGTAGAATAAGAGACTTGCCAAAGCAACTTCTAAAATATAGGTTTAATGACGTGGACCTCTGTTTAAATATTGTAGCTACTGTTGAATTCCTAGGGCCAGTGGAAGGTCTGGGACATAGTGGAAACTTAACAAATGATTGCTTTATGACTACGTCAACTGTTGGAGGGTCACTTAAAGAAGCATTTTATGGTTACTTTTGACTTAGTACAAATAAATAGTGGCACACTTGCAAGGAGACAGATCTTTTCAGCTAAGAGAGCTCCCTGAGAAATACATCCTTTATAATTACTTGAATTTTTCTTATTGCTTGCTTTTAGAAATGCTTAAATAGAATCTATTTACGGGGAAGAAATGAAGAACAAGGCATCCCTCTTGAATATTTAGAGAAACTGCACTATAAACACGAGAGCTGGCTCCTTCATCGAACACTGAAGTAAGACTTTCTTACTGTTTGCTGCTTGCTGTGATTCCCTTATCACATTTTAATCTAGAAGGCTGGATGATATGAGTAACAATGTATAAATATATTTTTTATCCTTGGTTTTTTTTTCAAGACAGACAGGGTTTCTCTGTGTAGCTCTGATTGTCCTGGAACTCACTCTGTAGATCAGGCTGGCCTTGAACTCCGATCTGCCTGCTTCTGCCTCTGCCTCCAGAGTACTGGGATTCATATTTTTCAAGTCACTTGTTCTAGTCATATTTTTACTTTAGGTGATAAAGTAGGGCTATGTCTATGTATATTACTAAGATACACTCAGAAATAGTTTTAAGGCGGTATAGTCCGATGTTATATTCTGTTTTAATTTTTATACTTCCAGTTATACATAACTAGCCTTACTCCAAAAATACTAAATGTGAAACTTCAGAACGAATTCATGAATTTAAAGTTGCTTGCTAAGTTGGCTGTGCCTATCTGTAGTCCTGTCTCTTGGGAGGCTGGGACTGTCCTCTTGCCTGAGCCCAGGAGCTTGAGGCCATACCGGAAGACATCGCTGTCCATTCTGAGTAGTGTTGAAACACTGCTGTCCAGCTCTGTCCGGTTCCATCCAGAAGTGCCCAGGATATAAGCTGTCACTGTGTCCAGCTTGTCTAGGCATATACAGGATGTGCTTTATAGTCATTTAGTATCTGTTCTGAGATTGAGGATCACATAATGATAGTGCTATAACCAAGTGTCCCTTGTCTTACTCATTAATGGTTCAGAAGTGGCAACCTTATGCCAGAGAGAAGAACTGTGATGTGCTTTAAATGGAAAAGGAAAAGTTCTCAACTTAGGGACAGGAAATGGCAGTTTTAAGGTAGAAAGTGTGACATTTGTACATGCATGTTATGTGTAAGAAAAAAATAGTACATATGGGGTGGAGTGGATGTTACCCATGATCCCAGACTTGGTGGGAATCTTGGACTGTATCCCATGTGGCCAAGAGAAGTTATTGGGATATAGTTTAAATTTGTGTGTGCAGTCATAGCTTGGGAGATAGTAGCCTAGTTAATTGTAGAAACCCATTGTTGGGGGTCCTTCAGTTGAATCCAGCTGATTTGCCCAGTTTGTACCTGAGAGGGGGAGTGTGGATTGAGAAATTGGCAGGTAAAGATACTAAGGAAAAGATAGGCACACAGAATAGAGTCAGGAGGGCAATCCAGTGAATACTGAACAAGCCAAGTTTATTTATCAACATCCTATATACCCCAACCAAAAGGGAGAAAATGGCAACAGGCTTCTTTATCAAGAACAAGGAAGAAACATTTACTAAGCATGCCTTAGACCAAATCTCTTGTTATTTAGGTTAGACATCCACACCTTAGACCACACATCCTTCAGTAGCCCGGCCTTACACCTTTAGGTCTTATTACTTTAACCTAGGAAGAGTAAGGATAGTTTTGAACTCTCTGACCTTAAGCCAAGATGAAGCAAGCCATTTTTATGGGCCCCAACAGTTAATGACATAAACATTGTGTTAGTCAGCACTTAGGCAGTATGTAACTGCACAGTACCTGTGGTCTTGAATTAGCTGAGTTTTCTTCTGTTTCTTGGCAGTGTTAGGAATGTAGCCTTCTGCCTTGGACATGCTAGGCAAGCACCCTACAACCACACCACACTGGGAGCACCCTTATCACTAAAATATAAAACCTCTCATGTCTTTTGCTTTTGAGAAATGACATCATAATGTCTAGTTTCATACATTCCCTAACTGAGATGATTGTACGCAGAGCAGTAAATCTGCATGTAAAGAGATCGCTAGCGCTTCACTGCAGGGAACATTTAGTCTAGAATGATTGACAATATTTTGACTTTTGAATGATATGAGTTGGTTTTTAATATTTTTCCTGGATTTAGTGCTTTTCTGATTTTGTTCATCTTTCCTTTTAAACAGAACTGACTTTGATTATCTTCAAGAGGTGCCTATCCTCACACTGGATGTCAATGAAGACTTTAAAGATAAAGACAAGCATGAAAGTCTGGTCGAAAAGGTCAGTTGAGGAAAAGACTAGTGTTTGTCTTGTGTACGATGATTATTTTAATTTGCGAAGACAGCTGCTTTCAGAAAAGCTTCTGTGAAAGTACATCTGGTGTATCTCTGAAGCACAATGCTTTTTCCCATTCCTTTCTCCTGTCTTGTCCCACCTGTTCCTCCCCCATCACTGATACTAACATGATCTAATATGAGCTGCTTATGAAATTAGTTTAGCTTTTTCAAGGAATTCAGTATGGAGGGTATTTAAAGTTGTAGGATATAGTCTCATTCGTTTTTAGCTGACGTTTGGAGAGAAAGCATTGTTAGGTTAAACCTTTGTTGGAGACCAAGATGAACTGGCCTTATCCAAATCATTGAGTCATTATATTAGGTTAATTTAACCTTCAGAAAATTGATCGTTGATCATTATCTGAATGAGTAATGTAATTTATACACATATGGGAGAGACTTACTGAAGAGCGATAAGATAATAATAGGAAGAATTGTATAAGTCGCCCTTATCTACTTTAATTGGTGATCTCATGTCTAAGGAGAAATATGTATTTGTTTAGTTTTGAAAGAAACTTAGGAGCTATTTTTGGTGTTTTTCCTCATGAAATATCTGGCTGTAATAAAACCTTGACTATATCTCAAAAAATTGAAACCATCAACATTTGAAACACTTTGCTGTATATAGTTGGTTGCCCTATCATAAGTAATACATATGTAGAAAATTTAAGTAACTTATTATTTGTGATATTAAAATATAAGATAGAATTAACATATGATACTATTAAAATTAGTAGCAGTTGTAATAACACCAAGCATGAATTTAACTGAACCTCTAAAACCACTTTAATTTTATTTTGTTACTTAAAAGTTCTGTTTGGGTACCAGACATACATGTAGTACATAGACATATATGCAGGCAAAATTTCACACAAGCCTGGTGCCTTTAATCCCAGCACTCAGGAGGCAGAGGCAGGCGGATCCCTGTGAGTTCGAGGAGCGAGTTCCAGGACAGCCTCCAAAACAATACAGAGAAACCATGTCTTGAAAAAGTAAAACAAAACAACTATTCACACAAAGGAAAAATTAAAATAAATTTGTGCCTTAATATTACAGATTTATATGTTTGATTGCAAAGGTGATTAATCTCTTATAATTATCAGTATTAAAACAGTACATATCATATATGTTTATTTGTTTACTTAAAAAATAGAGACCATAGCCTGGAGGTGGTGGCACATGCCTTTAATTCTAGCACTCTGGAGGCAGAGTTCTCTGTGTAACAACCCCAACTGTCCTGGAACTTGCTCTGTAGACCATACTGGCCTTGAACTCACAGAGGTCCACCTGCCTCTGCCTCCTGAGTGCTGGGAATAAAGGTGTGCGCTACCACTGCATGACTCTTCTGTACTCTTAAATGAAGATGAATATTAGATATCAAATTAATTGAAGGAATTGTATTAATTTTTTCCCTTTCTTCAGGTCAAAGAATTTTTGAGTACTTTGTGATTGTACGGGACGACTACAGGCGACAGAATGTCTCCAGACGTCATTGTAGCTTGATGTTCAAACGAAGGTCTTTACAGGATTCAAGGTTTTAAACTTTTGGGTTTTTTAGGACAAAATTTTCTTTATGTATGTATATTTTATTTAATAATCAGAATCATCTGTGAAGCTTTATGTCCCTCCTTTACTCCTTTACACCCTCCACTTCCACAGTTTAGATCAGAGATGTTTATCTCACACCAGGAAGTCTGGAGGTAGATGTTCCCAGAACCAGTAAGCTGAGTGGACAGCTGTTACAAAAGGCTCAGCCTTCTGCCTTCTTGGTTTATCCTGAGCAGGTTGACATGTTTTCATTGTTACCGAGATTTACTGGTGACCAGTTTACCTGGCCACTTTATGCTCCATATAAAGGGAGTGTGTCTTATGTAAGTTAGCGTACCTATTACAAACTGAAAAGTGAAGTTGGGCAATCCCTAGAATAGGATTTGTTGGAAGTGTTTTTTGTTTTTCTTGTTCCCTTCAGTGGTGCTGGACATTGAACCCAGGGTCTCACTCATGCTTGGGAAGCGTTCTACAGTGAACTGTCCCCAGGCCCCAAGTGTTATTTTTATCAAGTGCCTCTCCCTTCACCCACTTAATGTCGATGATAAGACCCTGGTACATCACCTCATTGATGTTTACTAATGTGTCTGTGGTGCATTTGTAGAGGAAGAGGGTCAACTCTGTCCCCAATATTGTAATGGTGTAATTACTTTGTAAATCATTTAATCTTTACCTGGTTCTTCATCTGTGATGAGTACTCTCTTTTTTTTTTTTAACAAATTTTGGAGAATGGAAGAAATCTTTCTGTATTTAGGAGGTAGCTAAGACTTTTATTACATGAGTATAAAGCTTCATTGAATTAGCTACTGCTTTTCTCGGACTACTACAATTTAAATTACGATTTTTTTCTTTTTTCTTTTTTCTGGGTCAGGGTCTCTCCAGTTCTGGCTGTCCTGGAATTCACTATGGAGATCAGACTGGCCATGAACTCACAGAGATCCACCCATCTCTGCCTCCCTGCTCCCAGGGCTGGGACTAAAGGCATGCAACACCATACCAGGCTCTGACTTTTTGAAATCATTTGAGATACAAGTATGGTTTTTCCTCAGTTTTTTAAAAAATTTTTATGTAAAATGTTGATAGACCATAATGACCAGTTTTCCATTGGCTCTGTGTTGATAGTCTCTCTCTACCTTTATACATGGTGAGACATTGAGCTAGACCGAGCCAAGATGGAATGTTTCTTAGGTAGTCTGTTAACTTCATATTTAAGTCACACATTTCTGCTGTGAGAATGTTGTGATCACACTTTGTTTCACAGTTTGCTTTATAGGATTTTCCTTAAATTTCTTGTACTCACAAAAAGTATTGATAAGACAATTTTGCTTTATATATAGTGTATCATGGAAATGTTACAATTTTTGTTGAACTAGGAAATAACTTCAAATTCCAGGAGGCTTAAGGCGCCAGTTTAATGCACGTATCTCTCAACCACTTTCATGTTTAGCTATAAAAGTCTGCTTGTATTCAACTGAGGCCTGTATGTAATTAAAGAAGTATTTTTATTGTTTTCTCCAGTGTAGTTTTTTTTAAGTCAAGATGTGCATTTTTACTAGGTAATTAGCCTTTCTAATTCACATTAGGAAAATAGTTTCTTGAAATGAAGAATCACATTTATCTTGAAGCTACAATTTTCCTTTCTAGTGTTACCTTTTATGTTTGGTTTCTTTTCAAAGATAATAATTTAGTGGGTTAACTGGTACAGTAACACTGATCTTTGAAAAGGGAACTCAATTTCAAATCTGTAATAACCAAAAATAAATTGTCTTGTGATATATCAGACCTCTTTTTATTTTTGTTTGATATAACTAAATTTGCCAATGTAAATGTTTGTCAATAAATAAATTGAAACCTTTTAAACTATAGTGGGGGAGTTTAAATTTTCTGAACCAGAAATCATCTGGTCATCTTGTAAGAATTTTATGACTTTGCATTTTCCATTTAAATCTGTGATCCATTTCCAGTGTTTGTGAAGGTGTTAGGTTGTGTGTGTATGTGTACGTGTATACCTTGTGTGTGGGTGTGTGTGTAATGCATTCCTTGTGTGTGCATGTATGTGTGTACGTGTATAAGCTTGCTTCAGCACCATCTTTGTTTCCTTGTGTTGGTAAAGGTCAGCTGACTATCCAGGCCTTTTCCTGGAACACACACACACACATACATATATACATACATACATACACACATACATAAACAAACTTCAGTAGTTTCCTTTCTGTTGCTGTGATAAAAGTACTTGGACAAAAAGCCTCTTAAAAAAAAGGAAGGGTTTTTTTTTTCTCATGGTTCCAGGTTCCAGTCTTACTGCAAAAAAGACAGCATCAGGAGCTTGAGACAGCTGATTATATCATACCAGCAGACCTGGAGACAGGACCACTCTTTTGTCCCTACTTTGCTTGCTAGTTGGGCGGTGGGACAACATTCTGGGAGAAATTGGTAATCAGTTGTTTCAAATCAGGAAGGGCAAAGGTTTTTCTATCTCCCAGCACCAAGGGTCTCCCTGCTTTGAATGACCACCCCAGCAACTGGTGGGAACCCAGGAAACTGGTAGTGTAGATTCAGACTTAGCCTGGCCAATTACTTTGGTGTAACTCACTAATGTTGGTTTCTCAGTGCCAGAGGGTTCAGGCCATGACTATTTGGTTCCTGGGCAGAGCATCATGGAAATGAGATGTGTGGCAGAGGAGAGCTATTCTTGGCTAACCAGGAACCTGAGGGTGTTACTATAGGCCACAGATAGTATTGACGGGCCCACTCCCCGAGGACTTCCTTTGGCCAGATCCCATATTCTGAAGTTTATATGATTTCCCCAAATAGGGAGATAAGATCTCACTGTCTGTCCCTGGAATTTGGTGAGTGCTGGTAGTAAAGATGTGTTCTACCAAGCCTTGCTCGGGTCAAGCATGAACTTGTAGGGGAATATTTCACATCCAAAACATAGCGCCCTTAGAACCTGAAGGCTCATGGCTAAGTAATACAGGAAGTTCAAGCAGATCGAAACCAGCAGCAAGAATGAAACAGTAAGAATCAGTCAAAGCTAAGCCCAGGGCCAGATGGATTCACTTGAGAATTCTGCCAAGAACTAACAAATGCTAATACTCTGAAGACTTTTATAAAACACAATGAAACTCAATGACACTGGTACTAGCCTGATACCCAAACTAGGTAAGGATACAGAGGAGGTAGGGTGAGGAAGGCGTTGCTGTTAACCAGTTTTCTTGGTGACTATACATAGCTGTAGTAAGTAGCAGGAACTGTGGTATTGGCATAAAAGCGGACACATAGACTAATGGAATAGAGAAGACCCAGAAATAAACCATGGAAGCCACAATCATGTGACTTTCCAGAGTGCCGAGAACATTTCAAAGCCAGTCTCTTCAGTAAAGGATGTGTGAAAAAGCAGATAATTCACTTGTAGGAAGCGTGGATTCCCGTCTCCCCATGCACAAAGTCTATTCAAAATAAGGAAAAGTCCTTAGCGAGACTTGAAGCTTCTAGACGAAAGCAGGCAAATGCTTCAAGGCACAGACACAGACCAAGGTGTTTTGAGACACTGTCCTGCTATGTAGCCCAATGCTCACAATCTTCTTGCTTTAGCTTACCAGCTGTCAAGCTAGATTACAGGAGGCCAGTGTCATTGTGCATAGAAGGCTATGATCTGAATAGGACAGTGCTCCAGAACATAATAGCAAAATTGACAAAAGTGGTCAAATCAAGTTAAAAGGCTGCCACACAGGAAAGGAGACAATACCAGAATGAAGATGTGGCCTACAGCATGAATGATCGTTCTCGAACTATTTATCTGACAGTAAAATTCAGAATATATAAAGACTTCAGCATTAAATGCTAAAAGAACAAATATTTTAGTTATTAAATGAGGAAATGTATTGGACAGAAAATTCTCAAGAGATATGTAAATGGTGGCTAGAGAGATGGCTCCCCAGTAATGACAAACTTATTAATTATGAAGGCTTGACCCATAGCTTAGGCTTGTTTCTAACTAGCTTTTATAATTTAAGTGAACCCATATCTTTTAATCTACATTCTTTTTTATGTTTTTATTTAAATTAGAAACATGCTTGCTTCACATGTCAACCCCAGCTCCCTCTCCCACCCTTCCTCCCTTGTTCCTCCACCAGCCCCCCCTAGCCCCCACCCAATCCCCACATCATTCCCCAGGGATGGTGAGGCCCTCCATTGGAGGATCTCCAGAGTCTGTCATTTCATCCAGGGCAGGACCTAGGCGCTTCCCCATGTGTTCAGGCTGAGAGAGCATCCCTCCATGTGGAAAGGGCTCCCAAAGTTCATTCGTACACCATGGTAAACACTGATCTACTGCCCAAGGCCCCAGAGATTGCTGAGGGCTCCTCACTGACACTACATGCGGGGAGTCTGGATCAGTCCCCTGCTGGCCTCTTCAGCTATCAGTCTGGGGTTCATGAGCTTCCATTTGTCAGGTCAGCTGTTTCTGTGGGTTTCACCAGCATGGTCTTGACCTCTTTGCTCATCACTCCTCCCTCTCTGCAACTGGGTTCCAGGAGTTCAGTTCAGTGTTTAGCTGTGGATGTCTGCTTCTGCTTCTATCAGTCACTGGATGAAGGTCCTAGGATGGCATATAAGTTAGTCATCAACCTTATCATCAGGGAGGGGCTATTAATGTAGTCTCTCCACTATTGCTTAGTTCTCTAGTTGGTGTTATCCTTGTAGATCTCTGGAAACCTCACTAGTGTCAGCTCTCTCCTCAAACCTGTAATGACTCCATCTATATCAAGGTATCTCTCATCCTGCTCTACTCTATTCTAACCCCGACTCAACCTTCCTGCTCCCCCATGTCTTCCTCTGCCCTCCTCTTCTCCCCCTCTCTTTTTCCCGGTTCCTTAATCTACATTCTTTTATGTGGCTCCGTTACCTTTTTTTTTTTTTTTTTTTTTTTTGGCTTTTCGAGACAGGGTTTCTCTGTGGCTTTGGAGGCTGTCCTGGAACTTGCTTGGTAGTCCAGGCTGGTCTCGAACTCACAGAGATCCGCCTGCCTCTGCCTCCCGAGTGCTGGGATTAAAGGCGTGTGCCACCACCACCCGGTGGCTCCGTTACCTTTACTCTGTATTGTCCATCCTGCTTCCCTTCCGCTTTCTTCTTCCCAGAGCCGTCTGTCCAGAAGGCCTACCTATACCTCCTGCCAGCTATTGGCCGTTTAGCTTTTTATTAAACCAATCACAGCGATACATCTTCACACAGTGTAAAGGAATATTCCAGAACACTCCTGTCTTCACCCCCCCCTGTGCTGCCGTTACATGTCATGCCCTCCCCCCACCTTGGGGTTCTGGGGGGTCAAAGTAAAGTCTTCTGGCATGCAAGGAAAGCACCTTCCTGACTGAGTCATGACCTTAACTTAATGGTTCATCTTTATTGTCAACATGGGTTGAGACATGTACAGGAGATTGGTAAGGGACACTTCTGGTTATGTCTCTGATGATATTTGTGAAGAGGATTATACTTTTTAAAGATTTATTTTAAACTATATATGCATGCTTTTTTTGAGTATGGATATTTAGTAAATGCCTCCATTAAGAATGTGAGTAGATTTCACTAGAAAAGGAGATATGCCAATGAGGGGTAAAAAAGAAATACCTGGCTCATAAATTATGGTTTCTGGTTTTGTGTTTTATGGGTTTTCTGTGTGTGCGTGTGTCTCTAAGTGCACATGAGCTTCTTGTGCTTTTTATTTGTTTTTACCCCTGCTGTTTGATTGTTTTATTCTATCTTAATTTTTCTTCTTTTTTTTTTAGTTGCCTATTTGTTTTCTAAAGAGAAAGAGAAAGAAGGCATGGAGTTGAATGGGTGGGGATGTGGCGAGGATCTGGGAAGAGATGAAGAAGGGGGAACCTGTGATCAGAAAATATTGTATGAAAAAATATTTTTTAGTAAAAACCAAGCAATCGCTGGGCATTGGTGGCGCATGCCTTTAATCCCAGCACTCGGGAGGCAGAGGCAGGCGAATCTCTGTGAGTTCGAGGCTGGGCTGGACCAATAGCCTCCAAAACAATACAGAGAAACCCTGTCTCATAAAAACAAAAAACAAACAAACAAACAAAAAACCAACCAATCAAAACAGAAAAGCCAAGAAATACCATGAATACAGAAAACCATCAAATTTTATAAGATACATAGGAAGAAATAAGTTAGTTGAAGAAAATCAGAATAAGATGTAAGTTTATATGCCAAGTGTTGGAATAGCACCTAATTTTACAAAAACAAACCTCCACTAGACACAAAAAGGTTATTTAGGTCCCAGGGTAACAGCGGGTGACTTTGAATACCAAGAATAACTTAGTATAACTGGATAAAACACCCCCAAATTCATGTGAGAGCACAGAAGACCAAGTAGCTAAGGAAACGAGCAAAACCATATTGGAAACAAAATAAGACAAGGAAAGCACGTCAGCATGTTGGCACAGGTGGCGTTCCTAGATAAGACTTCAAAAGGCGAGAAAAGAATTGACACCTGGATTACATCTAAGGGTCTGCCTAGCAAGTTAGATGGTCTTTGTCCTGTCAGCTACAAAACGAAATAGCTAGTGGTAGTTTGAATAAGAATGGCCTCCATAGACTCATTTATTGACTGTCTGGGAAGGATTAGAAGGCACAGCGTTGTTAGCGGATATAGGTCACTGTGGGCAGGCTTGAGGTAACCAAAGAGTGGAGCCACTCTCTGCTCTCAGCTTGTGATGAACTTTCAGCTCTTCATGATGACGTGCTTTGACATCATAGATTCTAAGCCTCTGGAACTGAAGGCCCAATTAAACATTTTCTTTTATCAAAAGATTTATTTTAAAATGAGTGATTTTGTGTGGGTGTGTGTACCAAA